CCGCCCAGCTCAACCAAAAAGGAGGGCCAGAGGAGACACAACCTCCCATTTAGGTGAAGATTTTTAAAGTGCAATGGGGGGGGGGGGTGGTGGATATTGATAGACTCACAGCCTTTATCAACACTCTCATTTCTTACTACGTCCTACACTCCTAGAAGTTTCTTTCATACAAAAGCCGTACTATTAAGAGCTATTTTCATGTAAAATCTTGAGTTGAAACTTGAAACGTATTTTCATATATGTCACAGATACGTATGATTCTACTGTTTTTGGGGAGTAGGGGAGATTTGGTAAACTGAACAAGATTATTATATATGATGGTCCCCCATCGGCCTTTGGCGTTTGAGAGAGATAGGTGCTTAGAGTGGGTCCAAAAATTGGGATGGGGTTAGAGTGGAACCACTGGGCTTTGCATGTGATGGACATGATTGAGATGATTTGTAGGCTGAAATGTATAGGCCATTAGGTTTTACCCTTTAAAACATGTTAGTGTAATTGGCATGGGCGTTATATTACATAATTGTCTCAGGGAAAGGTTTCACAACTCCTTATCACGTGCCTAGTACTCAACTTTTGACAAAAACCTAAGGCCCCTTAAAACTCTTAACAATGGATGCCTCAGAACAGAAACCTCTGTTTTCTCATTTCTCCGAAGGTTTTTTCCTTTTTTGAAAAAGCCCTTACTACTACTAGTAGTAGTTAAATTGTTATGACGATTCCTTTAAAGCAACACAGTTTTTTACAGATGACATTCTCAAATAATTGTGGAGGAAAGGAGGTTCGTTTTGGGCTTATCCATCCACCTATCCAACATTCAATCTAGAGTGAACAGAAAAATCAAGCATACCCAATGAGCCTGTAGTGATAGGAACAGTGTCATCTGGTTCGGGTGGTTAACTTTGATAAATCAACTTTCAAGAAAATGGGCCTGTAATGATTAGGTTCAATGTTGCCTGGTGGGCTCAATCTTCAACAAAATATGTGCAGAAGAAGTGAAAGGTAACAGTCATCAGATCCTTAGGTTGAAACCGGCTATAGATGTGGGCGGTTAAGACTAATAAAATGCATGGGAAAAATATGATACGCCCTGGCTGAAGTCGAGAATTAAAAGAACATGTAACACAATCATCTTGCAAATTATATTATATCATGAAGATGACAGGTGAACCAGGGATCACATCCTTATGTTGATCTGGCGGTGTATGAACTCTAATCACAAGAAATTAATTTTAATCAAATTAAACTTCTCTGTATCCCGGGGATTAGGTGCTCAGCTTTTGACTTTACCTTTAATATTCTAAGACGAAATATAATTGGTCCAAGCACTAACTGGCCATTGAAAACCCAACATCATCTTGCGTTTGGAATTGCCGGGTTGGACCTTCAATTCCAACATACAGGCCCAGTACGACAGACAAATTCTCCATTTGTTATGAATTTTAATGCTTAAAAAGTTACAGGGGACTCGAAAAGTTTCAATTTGATTTCCAGCAAAAAGAAAAGGCTATGATTAGATCGAAATGACGTTACCTAGGGGCTTTCAACAAGGTTACCCTCTTCAAAAATTCGTAGGCAGACGCAGTCTAGTAAGTCTGCCCAATGCCTGCCATGAGCTATGGCACGAGCTAGGCCCAAAGTATGAGAAAATCCTGTGGATATTACCGCAGGTTTAACGATGGCACACTAACGAGATCAATTCTAGCAGAAACACCTAAAGCACCGTTCCAACAGCCGTTAAAACAGATAAACGGATAAAGGGGGAGGAACCGAGGTTCAAGTTTGATGTACGTTCTCTTCCGACGGAGGAGCCGAGGAGGGAGGGAAAGTTATGGTCCCACTCCGAAACATTGATATTCGGTTCAAATCAAACACCTATTTACCACGTTTAACAAACTCTGGGAAGCCTTTCACCGATTAGGCAATGTCTTTCCATTTCTAGCAATGGATTCCATCATCTCCTTCATTTCATTTCTTTCATTTATTTTTTCATTTCATTACTTTCCTATTGTTATAGACAGAAAAAAGTAATCCTGTTTGTTAAGAAATTCGATTTTTGTAAGTAATTTTTTTTTGTAAATGAAAAAAAACAGATATTAGGAGAATTTATCATTCTTACGAGATTGAATCCGACTTAATTTTAGATTTATCGAAATTCAAAGTTATTATCGAATATCGAAAGTTAAACAAAAAAAAATTAAAGAAAAAAGTAGAGAGAAAATATCATGGCTCGAGGAAAGATCCAGATCAAGCTTATAGAGAACTCAACCAACAGGCAGGTCACGTCTATGAAGAGAAGAAATAGTCTGTTCAAGAAAGCTAATGAACTTACCGTTCCTTGCGATTAAACGCTATATTCTTTCATTTTCTAATATTTGTAGAACAAAACAAATAATTGATCAATACCAGAAAACCTTGGGCATCGATCTCTGGAACACTCACTATGAGGTCGCTCTCTCTCTTTCTTATTTGATTTTCATCTTTGGGAGAGTTTAAGAGAGAAAAAAAGGTCCCTCTGTTGCACTGAGTTCTTTTGTGTGTTCATACAGAAAATGCAAGAGCAGTTGAAGCGGCTGAAAGAGATGAATATATAGGGATCTATGAAAGGAGATTAGGTAAAAAACAAAGCATATGTTACTCTTCCCTTTATTTATTATTTTTTAATGTTTGACGTTGTGGTGATGATAGGCAGAGGATGGGTGAATGTTTGAATAATGTTAGCATTGAGGTTCTTTGTGGTTTAGAGCAAGAGATCGACAGCTCTGTCAAGCTTATTCGTGAGAGAAAGGTCCATCATTTTTAACCAAGTTATGTACCTTTTTTGAACTAGGGTTTTCTTTTAATAATCATCAATTCTTCCTTATTTTAGCATATACTAAATTAGATTTAATTTTTAAAGAGGATAAGTGATTAGTTATTTGGATTATTAACTCCATCGGTAGTGGTGGAGAATGAATGATTTTCGATCAAAATTTGGCATTGCATTTAAATTGATACCTTAAAATTTTCATGTCATTCAAAGTTGGATTTTTCTCAATAATTCTTCAGCTAGATTGTTAATGGTTATGGTGCATGGTATATATATATACTGTTGATCTTTTTTTTTTTTGATAAGTTATATTTTATTTATCCAAAAAAACAATAGATTACTAGATTATATTCATATTATATATATATAATCAAATCATATTCTAACTATTATATATTATAAGTTTATTTATATTTCACCCATCTCACAAATTTTTGTTGATTGAGTTGACAATAACTGAATGCAATAAATGTAATCAAGTTTTGACAATTTTCTTAAACCGATCATATTCTTGTTGTTTCGTTATTTTTTTATTTTTGAATAATTTGTAATTCTTTTTTTCCGTTTACAATATATATGAGCATTCAAAATAATATGCAAAACTACTAATATCAATATCTTGCCTTTCATGCATGTCACTATCCATTTCAATTCTTCAATTCCCTTCTTAATTTCTCTGTCAATTCTGCATTATTGCAATACCCTTATTCATACAATTTTTTCATATTCATAACAAAAAAAATAGGCGGTTTATGGATTCCTTTCATGTTGACATATATAAGTTAACCAAGCTTTTATATGCTCGAAAAACAGGTTAGAGTGGAATTCCTTTTTATATAGAAGCTAATTAAGTTTTGTTTATAATATATGACAGTATCATATTTTCGGCAATCGGATCGATATTTAAAAAAAAAAGTAATAACTATGTCAATATTTGGATTTATTTTTATATTATTTTGTCATTAAACCTTTTCTCTTGGATTCTGAGATGATATAGAAAAAATAATTCTTCTCTTTCTTATTATATTGTTGAAGGTGAGGAATGTGGAACAGATCATACACAAAAATCTCTTACACGAACTGGTAAGTACATTAAGCTTTAAAACCATTGTTTTCTTATGATGCCTAGCTATATATTTGCCTGATTAATTAGGATGCAAATCCATATGGTTTAGTTGGTAATGGAGGGGATTATGATCCCATAATCGGATACCAAAATGGAGGTCCTCGTATACTTGCTTTAAGCCTGCAGCCAAACCATCCCTATCTTCACAGGGAAGGAGGATCAGATCTCACAACCTATCCCTTGTTTTATTAGCATATCTTCCATTTCTCTAAGCTTATAGACTCATGCAATATTTCTTCTGATTAACATGTATATTGCTATGAAAACCCCAAAAAAAAAAAAAAATGGTGTGTGCTATTACTAAATGTCTCTTCACTTGATTATGTGGCTTTGAATTTGTTTCGTATCCGTTTCCTTACTAGTAGATATCATATATACTGATATATATAATTAGGGATTCAATATGAAATGCTTAATTTGCTTATAATATTTTATGTTCAGCTATAATTATTAGATAAAGATATGCCCTGATAGTTGCATAAATTTTTAATGATTTTTACAATTTTTATACATATAATTAGCTGGCATTACAATTATTAAGGCTATCCATTATTTCAATTATTCTTAATTTTTATTTTTTGGTATAAAAGGAAGTTGAACATTTAGAAAATATAAGTGTTGAAAATTAAATTTCGAAAGAAATCGTTTTTTAAAAGAGATGAATTATTTAAATTAAATCTTACATGTAATTTATAAATTATTTTTATTACAACATATTAGAAAATGAATAAATAAAAAAATTTTCATATGTGAATTTATATTTGGTTAATTATCTTCAAAAGTTGAGAGAAGGAAAACTTAAGCTAATGGTGAAAGGGAAAATTTTATATTTTTTATTAATAAAATGTATAAGAAAAAAGGATTTTAACTAATAGTATAATTCAAAAGTTTTTTTTTTTTTTTTTTGTTTTAGCAAAGCATTGGACATCGCGAATTTTATTAACCGTAAGCTTCCAAATTCCAATCACACTTCAATTCTTTTTTAATTAAGAGATTAATTCCGTGTAAATAGTAGTACATATTTTTTTGGGTAAATTTAATTGATAAATACTCAGTGTTTATTATTGTATGGGTAATGGACTTCTTAGTCAACGGTCAAACCCAGTAACGCCGCGCCGCAACGCAACCACAGCCAATACAGACACAGTTGCCGTCACCTGAAGAATTACCAAAAGATAGCGAGAGAAGGTGAAGGGAAGAAGAAGAAGCCAATGCCAAAGGCCAAAAACAAGTTCTTAGTTTAGTTCCACGTGCCCTTACCACAACGCCGATTTGATTGAAAATCCGTGAAACCGCCGTTCACCTGGCCAGGAAATCACCGAATCTATTTTGTCCCCACCTTCGACAGTAACCTCTCTCCCGCCCTAAACCCCACCACCCTGGTTTCATACTCTCTTGCTTTTAGTTTTAGCTCCAAAGCTATGGGGCGTCTGGCCCGGTCGTCTCTTCTTGGATACCTGAAGATGACCTTTTGTTGAAGAACGCTATTGAGGTAAATACTTTTTCGTTTTCCCTTGCTTCTTTTTTAAGAAACGAAAAAGAAGAAAGATTGTGTCTTTTTGTTGGGTACTTCTTTCTGGAATTGGTTTTGCTTGTGACCTGAATTTGAATTTTCTGGTGTCTGTATTTGTATTTGTTGTCAACTTGGAAGTAACTATATACTCATGGCTAAATTGGGTTCTCTTTGTTTTTCCTAGCAGCTAAATGATAATGCTTTTTTTTTGCTCCTTCTGTCTTCTTGTTTTAGGTATTGGCGCTGCAGAGCTGATTTATGCGTTTCTTTTAGTCTTGTGGTTTTGTATGTATGGCATTATCATTGTTCTGGTTTTGAAATTCTGGGTTTATTGTTATGGTTTTTTCTAAAAATTGAAATTAAATTACTATGATTGGTTTGATAGTACCATAAATTGCAACTTTACTGGACTTCATGAATATCGATGACACTGGAAAATGGGATCCAAATTGTACAGTTAGCATGAAGTTATTACTTCACTCTAATTGAATTTGCTTTTTGTTGTTTATCGTCCTTTGAATTATGTTTCAACTTTGTGACACTCTGTAATTATTTTATTTATTTATTTATTTATTTTGTATCTGTTTGCAGGCTGGTGCTTCTTTGGAATCTATTGCTAAGGGTGCAGTGCAATTCTCTAGAAAATTCACTGTTAGAGAACTGCAAGGTCGATGGCGTTCTCTCCTTTATGATCCAGTTGTTTCTGAGGAGGCTTCGGCTCGCATAATTGAGTTTGAACGCCCTGCCTCTACCTTGTCTTCAAAATTTGGCAGAACAGGAAATTTAGAAGATAGCAAAACTTGGTCGGGGAAGAGAAAGCCTGAGAGTGTCCGTAGCTGTTACTATGCATTGCGTAAAAGAATTCAAAATGAGCCCTTTAACTCGATGGATCTGAGTTTCCTTATTGCAGCTGATGATGGTGACTATGTTGGGATTGAAGGTGAGCCTATACCTGGAAATTGCATGCTTGGAAATCCAATCTCAGATAATTTTGAAGTTCAAGAAACAAATATGAATATTACGCATTGCTCTTTTTCACAAATGTTAGATGATGATGGTGCTGCAACGAGGGATGGGTGCACGACAGATGGCTTTCTGACAACTACTTATAAGCGAGATGATGATGGTTTTCCTGCAGAGCCAGTTAATATAAATAAGGAAATTCCTCATGTACCTGGAGAGAATCAGTTTGTGGTTGAGAGTGATTCTGGCATTGAGGAATTGCATGAATCAAAGGAATCACCCTTGCATAGCTTGTTTGAGGCTAATGATTTAATGGTAAAACCTTCATCTACATTTGATCAAATTAACAACGATCCACAGAATATCTGCTCTGAGTTTGAGGGTGACCAGGTCTTCAACTCACCAATTATGAGGTGTGCATTGTCAATTTGGAGAATTGATGAAGGGTTGTCTGCATCCGCAATTTGTGTTGATGATGGTCATGGGGAAGAAGACCTTCATTGAGGAGATATATATACAATTCCTAGTGACGGTGTTGCTAAGAACAATCATGCGTCAGGACCTGGTTTTGTTGGTACAAATTCAAAGTTTGAATAAAAAATACCATGTGAGGAATTGGAAAATCCAACTGCTGATACGGAAGGTTATTTGGTGGAAATAACCAATACCTTTATGAATGATGAATCTTTTTTCATGGATGTCGATGCGAAAGATGTGATTGATAAGTCTTACTTTGATTGTTTGAACTCACTTTTGGCAAGTTCACCAAATAACTGTGATCAAGATCAGATGCCTGATGTAACTGAAGTGATGACATCAGAAACCCAAGATAATCTTGCAAAAGTGTCTTGTTCACATCTTGAAGAAGTGGATGAAGTTGCTGGATCTTGCATTGCAGATGGGTCTGTGTCTTGCAATTCAGAGGTCCCAATGCTTTCTTCTGTGTCAACTTCAAAAAGTCAATTCCCTGAACTGACTAATGGCATCATTTGTTGCACATTAAACACTGAGGACACAGAAATTCCGTGTAATGAAGATGTTGTCTTCCCCAAACAGCTGTGCCCATTGGTAATTTCCTCAACACGACACATTTTCAAAGAAGCTGGCAATCCATTATCTGTATGTGCAAAAGATTTTTCTGGGGGCCAGAGAACTAGAGAGGGAGGTACCCTCCTGGTTCAGACAGGTCAAAAAGATCCAGGGCAATCTCATGGATCTTCTCAAATAAAACGATCACAGATGATACCAGAAATTGGTCAACTGCATCCACTAGTTAAAAGCCAGGATTCCCCATGTGTAACACCTAGAAGTATTGGTTTTCTAGCCAATGGTTCAGCCCAAATTAATTCCATAAATGTTAGTGAAGGCACTCTCCCACCAACACTGCCAAATGAAAAGATTGAAGGAATCATACTGGGAAAGCATCTGAGTCATAGTTCAGCTGATTCTTTAATAGAGAAGCCAGATCTTTGTTCTGATAGCCACAACAGTTATCCACTGGTGAATTCTTCTGCCATTAAACAAGAAGTGGATGCTCCAGAAATGATTAAAGATCACCAAGCTTCAAGTGCAGCAGTGGGATCCATGGATATTATTTCCCCAGAACCAGTTATCCATCATCCACCACCAGATCTAGAAGAGTTACTGATTGAAAGTGACGATGATGTTCCTTGTTTCTCAGATATTGAGGCAATGGTATGTCATCAACTACTCTGGCTGTCACTTTTATTATTGTCATCATTGTTAACTGCTTTTAGTCTCGTTGTTTTATCCTTTATGAACAGATTCTTGATATGGAATTTGATCCAGATGACAAAGATTTGTGTGATCAGGAAGGTAATATGTCAACCCATTAAATTTTAAATTGCTAACTTGTATCTGTCAATATTCTGCTCTAGTAGTCTGTTAACACCTGCAGTTACTGATCTAATTTACCTCCATCTTAAGCATTGGGAGAAGAGATAAAAAAAAGTTTGTCTTATTTTGCGCCTGTTGTGGGTTGTTCAAATTTGATCTTTTCTTATTTGAGTCTGGATTGATGTCTTCTAGACAAAAAAGATAATGTTTACTTTTCCCTGTGCAGTCGCTAGCTATTAGCATGAGGACACTATAAGAGCAATTATAAGGCTGGAGCAGGCTTCCCATTCTTACATGCAAAGGGCCATTGCATCCCATGGAGCCTTTACCATTTTATATGGTCGCCATTCCAAACATTATATTAAGAAACCCAAGGTATTCCAAACCTAAGAAGTCTTTTTTTTTTAAAGCTTTTCTACCAAATCCTTACATTTACCATTCTTCTCCTCAATGTTGTCTTTCCAATTTGAATGATATTTGTTAAATGGTGCTATGTTTTAGTTAAATGGTTTCTTAATCGTACATATGAGTGACTACCATCTACCTCCTTAACCAAGTCCAGTTAGAAAGCTATGCTTTTGAAGTGCTTATCAGTATTTGTTTAAGCCAAACACAGGATAAATAACTGTTCTTGGATAGGAAATTATATTGTCCTAGGAACCATCTAGTCTTTTGTCATTAATCGTGTCATAGGATTAAGAAGTTACTAAATTTTAAACTTACACAACTTAAACAAAATCCCATGGTTTAATTTTTGTAGCTTGCTTTCTGAAGCTAGTAGAGGTTATATCCTAGATAAGTAAATGAAAATTGATGGACCAAATTTTATGTGACACCTTATAATTTTGTTTGTGTAGATTTTACTTGGTAGAACAACAGAAGATTTTATTGTTGACATTAACTTGGGAAGACAAGGGTGTGCTAATAAAGTGTCAAGGCGGCAGGTAAGATTTCCTATGACTTGATATATTTATGTATTATATATAGTAATACATATGCTTCTTTTTTCTTTATTCTCAGAGCATTTCAAAGTATAGTCAAGCCATTATTACTATAACTAGTTATATCACTTAAATGGTTGTCTATTAACCTGTCATACCACTTTTTTTGGTTCTTCTCATATATTTAGGCAATTATCAACATGGAAGAAGATGGATCTTTCCATCTTAAAAACCTTGGCAAGTGTTCAATATCAATAAATAGCAAGGAAGTAGCTCCCGGACAAAGCCTGAGCCTTAATACCAGTTGTTTGATTGAGGTGCTGTTTTTATATTTCTTTCATAAATAAATGGTAATAAGTATTGGACATTGCGACATGCATCTAAGATGCAGTATGAATATTTAGAGAACTGTTAAGCTCTGTGTTATGTTTGGTATATATATATATATATATATATATATATATATATCATCTTGACTGACTGTAAATGGTGATTTTGCAGATAAGGGGAATGCCATTCATCTTCGAGACAAACCAAACTCGTGCGAAGCAATACTTGAATAGTGTGGCAAAAAGCAAAAAGTTAAAAATGTAATGTACGAGGACCTCCTGAGGAGGTTCTAGTGGCATATAGGCAGCGAGAGGTGAATATACAATTGAGGTAATTGCTTTCCTATTGAAATCCCAAAAAAGCCTTTTGTAATTATTACAAGTTTAAGAAAAATTTTAATTTTGTAATCACTGAAACTCAACTTTTACACTCTGCTAAAGAAGGGTATGTAAAGTCAATTCGTAACCTTCCAAATTGCACTGAAATCATGACCTTTTGGCATTCATCATTGTCAACCTTTTCTGTTCCTGTGATCACTTTGTCATTAATTGCTTGCATCATCACTGGAGATCTTAGACAAAGCCAGCCTGAAAGCCAGGTGGGCCCGTTAAAGATCTGTTTTCTTTCACAGTTATTTTTATAATTCATTTTCTCGGTCACAAACTCACCAGTGCACATGAAATTCTACTGATACCGATGTTAGTCAAATTATTTGGTACTAGTCCGGAGGAAGCTAGCGGCATGTCATGTTTTGGCCTGGGACGACTGCCCCTGGCATTACCATGCTAGTTAGTATCCAACGTTACTTGCGAATCTGGCAGATGGTCAAAGGCTCAAAGCCAACACCATTCGTAGAATATATGACGTAGAAAACAAATCCAATAATAACCGTAACGTACAATCAAATCTCTACATTTCTCCATCTAAACTCTCCACTCCACTTTCCTTCCGCTGCTCCTTCCTTCCCTCAAAAGCTCATATTTCAATCTCAGATCCAAACAAAGTTCCAGAATTTACACCCAACAAACAAGCGACCACAAACGGGAAGAAGATACGGGGAAGAAAATGCCAAAACTATCTAGCACCCTCTATCTCTGTTTACGTTCTCTTGTTTTCATGATCACATTTTCGAAGCTGTTGTTTGCAGCAAATTCTAGAACATGTCCAGCAGATGTGCAAGTACTCAAAGATCTGAAAAACGGGGTGGACCCCCGCTCCATAGCTCCCGGATCTTGTTTGAGCTCATGGGATTTCTCCTTGGATCCATGTGACAACATCTTCAGTAACCATTTTACTTGCGGGCTTAGGTGCGATAGAATCGTTTCTGGTTCTGCTCGAGTCACAGAGATCACTCTTGACCCTGTTGGTTACTCCGGTTCACTCACCTCAACTTCATGGAACCTCCCTTATCTACAGATATTGGACATCTCGGACAATTCGTTCTCTGGCTCAATTCCTGATTCCTTCTCCAATTTAACTCGTTTGCGTCGACTTTGTCTGTCTAGGAACTCACTCTCCGGGGAAATACCTGTCTTACTTAGCTCACTTTCTCACCTTGAAGAACTTTACCTTGATAACAACCATCTCCATGGACCCATTCCTTCAAGCTTCAACAACCTAACAAGCCTGAAACGACTTGAAATCCAACAAAACGACATCTCTGGTGAGTTTCCCAATCTGGGTTCACTCAAAAACCTCTACTTTCTCGATGCTAGTTATAACAACATATCCGGTGGAGTCCCAGCAACGCTTCCAACATCTCTCGTCGAGATCACAATTAGAAACAATAAACTGGGAGGAAATATTCCAGATAACATCGACAATATGAGTTTTTTGCAAGTTCTAGATCTCAGTCACAACATATTATCCGGATCTATACTGTCAGTTCTTTTTGAACATCCCTCCCTGCAACAGCTTGCTCTTTCTTACAACAACTTTTCATTTTTACAAGTACCAGTTGACATGGGTTTAAACAGTAAATTGATAGCTGTTGATTTAAGCTACAACAAGCTTCGAGGTTTCTTGCCAGCTTTCATGGCGTCGATGCCAAAGCTTGCAGCTTTATCTTTGGAGCATAACAAGTTCACAGGTATGATACCAGCTCAGTATGCACTCAAAACTGCTGTTCCTGGGAACAATACTTCGTCTTTTGAGAGGCTGTTGCTGGGTGGGAATTACTTGTTCGGGCCAATTCCTGGTCCTTTTTTGGGTCTCAAACCGGGTTCTGCTGAAGTCAGCCTGGTGGATAATTGCTTGTATCGGTGTCCTGACGCTTTCTTCTTCTGCCGAGGTGGGGATCAGAAATCCTTGGTGGATTGTAAGAGCTTTAGGCCTGCAATTCCTTAGAAACAAATTAACCCCGAATTGTATTACATGACATTATTCTCTAGGTTTTCTTTGCTTCTTTTACTGTGAAAAAGTTACAAATTTAAGAGAACAGAAAATATTGCTTGCTGTTTTACATTAGCTTTCCGGCTTTGTTTTTTAATTTTGTATAATGAACAAACTAATCTTGCTGAGGAGTCGATTGAAATTTCAATGCTTATAGTTTAAAGTGACCAAAAGAGAGCCTGCCACAGTGAAGTAAAAGGCATGGGGCTTATGCACTTTCAGATTTTGCCTTTGTGTTTCGTGGAGCATTGTCTTGGAAAGGAGTAAAGCGATAACTTATTATTGTACAATTGCTGTTAGTATTCTAGTAATTCTACCATCTGGCGTTGATTCTTTTGCTCGCAAAGTACAAATGGGAAACTGCGCAGCATTGTCCAAAGGAAAGGGAAACCCGTTAATAATTTCACCCACCCCAGGCTAAGCGACAACAGTGCTGATACACTCAGATTTCTCATGTGAATCGGTCTAGCAATCCCCTGGCATGCATTGTCATCATTTTTTTAGAACGGCTGAAGGTTATTACAAGCAAGGTTTTCATTAAAAAAAAAAAAACAATAGCAAACTATATAATCCTTGAGGATTTGATTGAGTACAGTATTAAAGATGTATTTTTGAGCCAACAATCATGTGGTCACAAATTTTAGCTATATATATTAGGTTTGTATGACCAACAAGGTTTATTTAGTTTGGCCAAAAAAAAAGGTTTATATAGGGAAAAAAATAGAATAACTAGTTAATGATACATAAATTTCGTAAGAAAAAATTTCATGCATAAATTTTTCGTCAATTTGATCTGATGTAATTTCCTGTTATCTGGAGATTTTCTCCATTCCCTTAGTGGGATCTCAATAGGATTCCCTTTCTTCAATATAATTTACATCAACAATAACTGTTGCCATCAAGTTTGAGTGGGTATCCATTTTATAAAAGCAAGCTATTTGCAATGCAGTGGTTCCATGTGCATTGTTCCTATTACCGGTAGACAGACAGCATTAAAGACCCTTCTTCAGCTTTGCCATTCTTTTATACCATGATTTCATTTTCTGTCATAGTTGTCTATTATTATAAAGCTTTTTCTGGATGAATTTTGTCAATTTTACATTGGAGGAAAAAGAATCCAAAGTTGGGTGATGAAAACCATGCCCAATGATTCTGGAATAATCAATATTCAGTATGGTATCTCAAGCGGATAAGGATAGGAGACTTTTCCTCCCTGAGTTTAATGTTGAAAATCCCAAAGATTTATTTATTTTGATGAGGATGATTTAATGGTTAAATTGCAGTACAACAAGTGCAAAATTTAAAGAAAGAAACCTAAAATGTTGGAGTTATACAAAACCTTTCTTTTTTTAATATATAAACCATTACTTGATGGGCAATCAACCATTGCATATGAATTCGGAAGACTACCTCGGTTCTGCAACGTTATCGCTTTTTTTTTTTAATTTTAATTTACTTTTAAACTCATCCTGCTATTTTTATAATTGAAAAAAATATTATACACATAACTGTTTTTTAATTTATAATTTTTAAATACCAACTCTAATAATATGTCAACTAATTTCAGAAATAGCCTATGCAATGTTTTCGTTGTAATGCTTAAAACACAACAATTAATCGACATGCAAGAAAATCTTAAAAAGAAAAACTCAATTGGGCCACAATCTAAGCCTACCTCCAAGTTATATTGCTTAAAATTCAACTTTAGCCCAACATTTGCTGTATATTAACTGAGGCTAACTCAGATATTGAGGGCCCATTGTGACTACCAAATTTCGAGCAGGAATTCCTGAAGAATAAAAAAGACCGGACAAGTGAAAGAATTCTGGACGCTGTTGAGTACTAACAACACGTTGTTATTGTTGATGTTTCGATTGACATCCGATGAAGATGTAGATAGAAACAGATCAACAGTAGTGGCTGGTATACATTGATGGCTACCCAGGAATTCTGATAACATTTCGGTGCCTCGTTCAAAATAACTCTATGAATGGTGTGGATGATAAAGATATCAATCCCAATTCCAAACTTGAATCAATTGTGATTCAGTATCCATTGAAATTGTCATCTTCAAGAATTTGCAAGTGGTGTAAATCCTGGAAAACGTCATCCAATGCGAGCATTTTTTTTTTTGTTTTCTCCATTACGTATGTCCGGAAGTAAGTCATAAGCAAGAAGGTGGTTCATTAATTACGGTTCCTGTAGATGATAGCATCGTTTTCCAAATCTTTTTAGGCACAGCAGTGGTCCAAGTCCTCATCAAATTAATGGTTTGGTTAGATCTAGGATCTCTATTGACTGTGCAGTCCCACCCAGAGTGCAGCTTCATTGATGCAATAAAAAGCTTAGCAAACCCATAAATAATTTTGCTTTTTTTATCTGAAAAATGGTGGCCAAGTGGGGCAATTACTCCGGGACCGAAGATGTTAATGGTATATCCCTCCCAACGAATTTCGTCTCCAAAATTTAAACCCCCGCAGATTGATAGGTAAAGCTCGCTTGAGGCCAATCATCTACCGTTAGATCAACACCTTGTTGGTAAACCCATATATGGTTGAGCATAGAGATTTGGACCTTTCTAAAGCTTTATTGCAATCGTATTAGATGCAGGAGGAATGTTGACTCATACATCAAATTAAGAACACCTTTGGGTGGCCAATTATGTTTGGGTGGTTAAATTTGTAGCGAAACAGCCCTTGGAGAGGCAAATGGGCAGGAGTGTGGGGGAGTGGCCATTGGTGATTGGCCAAGTGGGGAGCCCAATGTCGGTAAAAACCCTTCATTTCTGGCCAATGGTGATGTTCATTATTGATGTTGAAGATAACCGAGGATCGGAACTGCTTTGCGACCAAAGATCTCTGTTCCCCATACTTCTTCTCCAGTCGCATCCCATCCCATCCCACGCTTCTTTTGTCGTTCTTAGAATATTCTTCTTACGCAACTTTTTCTTTACTATTGGCTTTTTCATGAATAACAGCTTTCAATCTCATATCATATATAAAATATATAATAAATTATTATTAATTAAAATCAACACTCTCTTTCGATTTAGATTTGTTAAAATCTTAAAAAAAAAAAGATTTGTTAGCATTAATTAATTGAGGAACCAATCATTGAGTGAAACGTATTGCTTCAGTTGGACCCTCTGTTTTATTATGAGGGATTATTTTATATAAGGTGTAAATGAATAAATGTACAGATGTTGTGCTTGTTTGAATATATTAATAGGTAATTAATTGGCATGTCATGTCATGGAGGTAGCCATCCTATTGTCAATGAACCATTATTGCTTGCTTCCTAGCCACTTCCTTTGACTTGTAGTATAACATTTTCAATAATTATCTTGTTAATTATTAATATCCATGTTTAAGTTTGATTTTTTAATCTAAAGTGTAAAAATCAACTTTTTTTTTTTTTGTTAATTATGTGATTCTCAAATTCTTTTGAGTCTTTTCTATTATGCACCACTTTCCAAGATCTCAATAAATTGTTTGTCTTCAACACGTGCAAGGCTTCATCCAGTACTAATTTCTGCTTTAATAGGGTAAAATTTCAATAATTTTAAATTAATTAATTTAATTTGTTTTAATAAATTCAAAAATTTTACATTTATAATTTTTTTTATTTTAGGACTATGATTTTTTTTTTTTATAAAAAATCAAATGATCGGCATCCATCTTATAAATTATAGACATGCATGAATTTCTTTTAGGTATTTTTCCTTTGATTTCAGTGAGAGCCAATTTGTAGACCAAGTGAACAGTATTGGAATCGAATTGAAAGACAAGGGCCAATTATTGGTGTCTTATCACCTCCACAGTGTGATCATAGATATATTCCTGTTTTCATGCCATGTTATTCTTATTCACTTTCAAGATTTCTAGATAAAATATATATATATATATATACATATGTATGTATGACATTATGAATACGATCATATCTTTGAAAGCTAGAAAAAAATGTTGTTTTGTCCTCTTTTGTTTCTTCATTGCACCATGATCATATCCATCTGAGCCACTTGACCGACCACTTTTGGTTAATGCTTTTGTGGGCACAATCCACAATTGTTGCTGCCCTATATATATAATCTAAATATTTGTTTAACATATATAAGCATATATGATTTATTGGTTTGCTTTGTAAATGCGAAATTACTGTGCCACCTTTTTGTATATTATCCTATGTGCTGAAACTCAATCTATTGCTTAATAAGTATATCCCTAATACTGAACTTTTTTTGAGCTTTTTAATAATTTTAAACTTAAAGTTGAGCATGCTAAGGTTTCATGGCAGCAGATAGAGACTAGATTTCATGTACTGATCATCCTTCCCTAACAAAAAAAAAAGTAAAAAAAAAAAGTACAATAACTCAACTAATTTGAAAGTAAATTATTAATGTACAAACCTTTTCCAATAATGGAGGCACGTGGGAGGTTGATGATTGATCCGTCCTTTTAAAAGATCTCCACCGCCTTTGACTTGATGGATGAGAAAGAGAGAGATAGATGGGAAATTAAAAAAAAAAAAAAGGTTGCAGAGAAAAATATATGCTCTAGCTGGACACATGTTATAAATCAACATTTATTAATCAAGATTCGAGTATAGAATTTTTTTTTTATATAAACAAAAGTTTAGAACAGGAGAAATTGCTTCAGTTTTAAGATTACGGTCAATCATCAATTCAATTAAAATTTATAAATTTATTAAATTTTTATTTATAAATTTTTTAAATTTATAAATCTTTTATTAATAAAAAATTTGAAACAATTTGAATTTGAATGCTTAACATTCATCTTTTATCACTTTTGTCAACTATAATTAATAATATACAATTATATAATATATATATATATATATTATAGAGTAAGCAATTGATTACATCAATAACGAGTACTCTTTTCTTTCTATTTTCAACTTCAAAGATGACAAAAGAATTCCTTGAAATTTTAAATCCCATGGTTTACCCCATGATTTCTTTCTATTTATAGATTCATCGAAAGAGTTGATATATATAAAATCCAATGATCAGAAATATGTTTATGTACTTTGCCCTGCTCGAGAGACGGTAGTACATGTTGGTTGATAAAAAACATGACTCGATGAGTATCGTGGCCATGCATATAGCCAGGGTTTGATTTACAAATATAATCTCTTAATAAAATCAAGATTCAAAGTTCCATAACTAATCCTTTTCCGTTTTCACAAGTGATCGTTGGCAAATCCATGATGAAACTCAGTTCCAATATTACCAGCAGATCAATCACTTAATGCTTTTATATAGCGAATGATGATTCATAAGAACCTGAAAGCTTAAGTCATTGTTAAAATTGTTAAGCTTTTTTATAGCATGTTGAAAGGAGCAAAGGGTTATACATATGCTTCTTATTATGTTGTTTTTATCCGTATTTCTTGAACCATCTGAGTAATTTTTACTGAAAGAATTGTCATGGCTTTGTATAAGACTCACAGCAATGAAATAGATGGGCATTTAGGCAAGTTTAAGAATTGATTGCATAGCTGACAAAACCAGCAAGGTGATTGGGTGATCAGAGTGTGGTTCCCCTTTACAAGAAATGCAGAAGTAACATCCTAACAAACGAGGGATTCGACTAATCAAATATAAAAGCATTAATATTCCTTTGAAATGGGGATTGAGTAGAAGTATTAATGGATAGGATTAGATTAGATTTGGGTCATACTCATATTTAGTATTAATAATTTATATATTTATTTAAAATTTATTTGGTTTGAAATTTTAAATTTTAAATTTTTTTAAATTTAACTTAAATTAAAAAAATATATATCAAATTTATTTATTAAATTTAATATATATAATAAAAATTATAAAAATGTGATTAAATTAAGTTTAATATAATTATATATAATTTATATATATAAATTATAAATATAAAAATTAAAAATAAAATTTTATAAAAATAAAAATATGTTCAATAAAATATATATTTTTTAATTTTAAGTTATTATATATATTAAATTAATTTATATATAATATATATAAATAATAAAACTATATATAGTAAATTTGGGACCGGACTAGAATTTTAAATTTTTATTTAAAATTTAATCTAAATTTAAAAAGATTTAAAAATTATGCTAAAATTCGTTTAATGAACTTTAATTTTTTTATTTAAACTCTCTTAAAGTTTAAATGAATCTTTAAATTTATACAAATAACTTAACCCTTGAACAAATTTACAATTGAATTTAAGAATAAAATTCCATCTCATTTCACTCCACCTCCAAACTTTTAACTAATAATTTCAAACATTGTGATGGCTGTTGATTGGCCATTTGGCTTGTATTTTGCTTTCAATTATCCATTTCTGTTAAAAAAAAATGCACAAAATTGTCATTATCTGACAGACCTTGATGATACAAAACATCTAATTGAAAAAAAAAAAAAAGAAAGAAAAGAAAAGTAATAATATAATTGCCTAATTGGTATTCCCCAACTATTAATATAAGAAAGAAATTGAAAATTAAAAGGATAATATACAATAAATATAGTACATATGATCCACGATATAATATTGACAAAACATTAAATATTATTAAAAGATTACTAATTTAAAGATACAACTCATAAGTAATAACCTCATTATTCAAAAAAGGAAATAATAGCTATAATTTTTTTATCAAGATAAAATTTAATAGTTGAAAAGAATATCGTGTTTTTAAAATAAAAAAAATTATTAATTTATAAAAAAAATTTAAAATTTTTTAAATTAATAAAATATTTATTAATAAAGGATCGTAAAAGTTTAAATTAAAATATTTTATATTCAAAGTCTAAATCTTAATTATTTATGTCAATGATATAACTATAATTTTTTTGACTATATAAACTTAATTTACTTAGTATTATGCCAATGAAGATTATTACTCTTTGAATGAAAGCAATTGTAATTTTTATTTATTTCAACTTTCCAACAGTTATCACTGTAACCTAAGATTGGTAGATCAAAAAAGGAAAAAAATATCACCACAGAAAGTGAAGCAGCCTATCCGTATTAAAGTGTCTCTCTTTATCCTTACACAGCAGTGAAAAATGAATCCCCCACTATCCCACAGTAATCTATTGATTCTATATTTACCCCTGGATAGGTACGCTTATAACCCCCTCTTTCCAACGCTCCTGGGGTTCCAAATTGCAACTCTTTGACTCGGTCCTTTCTTTCAGGAATAGAAAGCGATCGGATTGGAGCAGAAGATTAACAAAGAGATGAAGATTCAGTGCGACGTGTGTAACAAAAAGGAGGCCTCCGTGTTCTGCACCGCAGACGAGGCCGCCCTGTGCGACGCTTGTGACCACCGCGTCCACCATGCCAACAGGCTTGCTTCTAAACACCAACGTTTTTCCCTTCTCCATCCTTCCTCTTCTAAACAAGCTCCTCTTTGCGACATCTGTCAGGTTTTTTTTTTTTTTTTGTTTTTCCTTCTTACTCTGGCTTTGTGTTTGTATGCTTTTTATTACTGTGTAGAATTTTTTGGAAGTTGGTGTTTTGATTTGTTGGTTGTTTTTTTTTTTTTTTTTTTGGGTAGGAGAAACGGGCCTTCTTGTTTTGTCAACAAGACAGGGCAATTCTATGCAGAGATTGTGATGTTCCAATTCACTCAGCAAACGAACACACCCAGAAGCATAACAGATTTCTACTTACAGGGGTTAAGCTCTCTGCTACCTCGGCTGTCTACACATCCTCCATCGTTTCCTTATCCAACGGTGGTGATTCTGTTCCTGAATTCAAGTCTCAACCATTGGTCAAGAATCCTGTCTCTGCTTCTCCAGCGAATTTGAATCCATCTTCGCTTGCTAAATCTTCATCCATGAGTACAACAGCAGCATCAGTAATTAGCAAGAGCAGTGGAGAAAATCTGTTAGAAAGTGAAGGGGGTATTTCAACGAGTAGCATATCCGAATACTTGATAGAGATGCTTCCAGGGTGGCGCGTTGAAGATTTCCTTGATTCCTCATTACCTCCCTTTGGTTTCTGTAAGGTTTGCATTGATCCATCATTGATCTATTGCTTTCCCTTTCTAGCTTGTAAGCCCTGCCACAGTATAATATATTTTCTTTTGACAATTTGATTTTGAATGATATGATTGTCTTTTTAATCTGGATAAGTTTTGTTTTTTGGTCTAATTTTGTTAGAGTGATGATGGTATGTTGCCGTTTTTTGATGCTGATCTTGAGAGCAATATGACTACGTTCTCACCAGAAAGTTTGGGTCTTTGGGTTCCGCAGTCACCATCTTCGCTGTATCCTCCCCAATATTCTTCACAAATGGGAGGCCAAATTGGGGTCAAGGAGACAAAGGAAATTGTAGGCATGAAAGCTAACGGGAGAAGGGCAGATGATGCCTTTACAGTACCACAGATCAGCCCTCCGTCCACTGGCTCCAAGAGATCTAGGCCTCTCTGGTAGGATCAGATCTTCAAAGTACAAAAGCTTCGTGTTCTCTTATTGTTTGACGAGGGGCTTAAGTTCCCATCTTTGCCTTATATTTGTATTTTCTGTCTTCCCGTTTATTGCCAAGTTGATTTCAGTTTGATGTTTCATTTTCCCTACTCTAATAGGGCCGGTTTTGTTTGCAGTATTTTGTTCCTTTTTCCCTCTCTATGTACTTGGGGGAATGCAACTACTTTGTAAATATCAATGAAACTTTTCGAAGTTACTTCTCTTTGCTTGTACTAATTTTCCCATATTCAATTCAATCTTCAGTTAAAGATTACAATCAGTCAGAACATAGAAAAATATAGAACATTTTAAACTGGAATCTAGCAAATGACATATCGTTATCTGAAAACCTTGAGAACAATTGAAGTGAAAATGTATCAAGAGACAGTCAAGGGAACAACTAATCGCCCTTTTGGTCGGGGAGATATATGATGTTATTGACATTGGGAACTGACAGAAATTGTAAGAAAGGTACAAGAAGATAGATGATAGTTATGATGAATTGCTGATGGGATCGGATAAGAAAAGGGGGGATGGAGGGGTAGGCAGAAAGGGTATGGTCTGGTTTTGTCTTAAAAGCAGATTGCAGTGTCCTGGTGGGACAAACACACCCCAAAGGCCAAAATCTATTGGATATATATTGAAGATAGCTATTTAGTTTTAGTAGTTCATTCAACAAATTGAAAACTTGCGAACCAAAATAGGGTGAAAAAAATAATTCCAAAATTAGTAGTAAGACTTTTGTTTCAAACAGAGCATATGCAAACGTGAATCTCATGTTTTTGTTCTTTTGTCAAGTGAATGTCGTATGCTTTGAATTTTGTGGTACATCGTCTGTGTTCACTTTATTAAGACCAGAAAAAGAAGAAAAAACAACAAATCTTTTCAGGAGTTACATCAATTACAGTATTGGTCGGGGGCCGAAAGGTTCATCTATGTATTGACCACGCAAACCTAAGCCTACCTAAGCGAACTCGAAGCATTGTCCTGTCTTATGCGCAATCTGCGCGCTGCCCAGGCGCCCTTTTTTTCACTTTTTGGTTGGTTCTAATGAGCAATAATTGACCTTTGTTCTTACTCCTCACACGGAATATCACAACAACGTCTTGATTTGCTTGATTATGGCATTTGTGGCGTTTCAGGGGTCGGTTCTGCCTACGAGACAAGCTGACATTTTATTGTATTTGATTTTGTGATGAGCTTGCTGTTTTTAATTCTTGAATTGGGCCTGTTTCATTTTACTAATTGTATGGCCGAGGCCTTTTCTTTATCGCTCAACTGTTATTCTGTTGGAGGGAGTGAGTGTGCTGTGTTGTGGGGAGAATGGAAGTTTATAGCTGGCATTGTTGTGAGACCAACTTAAAAATAGAAGCACGAGAATAGTAAGGATTCTGTTATGTGAAATGAAATGAATCTCCCTTCTTCTTGAAATTTCTTCTTATCCTTCTGTAGCTTTCTTCTCTATTCCTTTCTCTATTCTTTCATTTTGCTATTTCAGTTACAAAATTTGTAGTCCGTAAGAAAGAGAATGCATCAATGGTATCAGAGCTGAAAAACGTTAGTTCCCAACTTAACCAGTTATCTGTTAGTCTGGACAATATACGTGAAGCCATTAGTGAATATGAGACACATATGGAGGAGAACCAGGAAGCTGAGCAAAAATCATCTATGGCAGCAACCGTTCTCTCGCCCTTGTCCTTAACTACTGATCTCGTAATGACTAGAAAGTCCTTACCTTCATTTATTAGGGTTTGTTTAGTATCTCGAGTGTTGAATGACTAAGATTTTTGAATTAAATTGCGAAATGGTTATTGAACATGCTGAACACTCGACTGTTGGGTCTTTTGAATTAAAGAATATGCAACCTTTTGTTGAATGGAATGGATTTATGTCTGTTGAGGTAGTATACAATGAAAATTTTGCTAAACTTTCCTTGTTGAGGGATGTTGAAGAGAGTGGGAAGTTTGTAATGGCCTACTCAATAGTAGTGTTGAGGGCTGGGAAAAAGTTTGTTGTTGTCCATGATCCCTACCAGTTTTAGGCTTTTGGTAATGGACCTGAGGAGCAATGGTGTTGTAGTGTTTGTTTCAACTAACAAAATGGTTTCTGTTTGGACTTCGATGTTATGTGGATTTTTGGAAAGTGGTAGAGTTTGTGAGGCAAATAGATTTTTCAATGGCATATTTGAACAGATTGTTGTGTCATGGAATTCTATGATTGGTGGGCTTATTAAGGATGAGGATTTAGAGGAGGCAAGAGTTTGTTCGAGGAATCGAGTCAAAATGACAATAGTGGAAGAGAGAAGGCTGCAAAACCCTTACATGCTTTCGTAGGAACCTAAGGCTATAAAATTTTGAGAGGGCAGGGCAAATCTGTAGCTAAAAGGTTGAGTAATACTGCTCCACTGATTAAGAGGGTTAATGTGTCGGTGGTTAAAGAAGGTGAAGAAACATATCTTGTGCGGGTAGTTTATTTGTAGCGTACAAAAGGAAGTTCCATGAATAGTACTTGCCTTCCTTTCAAACCAACAAAAACTTCATCCATTTCCGATGTTAAGAATGCCTTTGTTATAGATTTTCAGGGAAATGAGATTCAACAGGAGGGAATTGCTCTAGAAAAGTGTAACAATCCTGCAGAAGGCAGCAAGAATTCAGATATGAAGTTTAGTAATGACATCGCAGAAAGTAAAATGTCCAAGGTGAAAATTGCAGCCGTTGCAGCTCAAGATGTTCTTGTGCTAAAAGGATTACACTCTAAGCTCTCCAAAAACCTTTCACTGATCTGCTAAAGCTTAGGTATAAGATTGCCTTCTATGCAACAAAAATCATATTGATTGTTGATGTTGCTAAAAGAGTGATGGTAAACACACAGAGGGTTACACGCCATGCGATACTAGAGCGCCTATCTGTTGTAGTTGTTATAAACAAAGTTGACTGGCTGATAACAGAACTTAGGTCCTTGCTAAGGCTGGGTTGCAACACTATTTTGAGTTTAGCCTCAAGCTTCACTAATATGCTAGTTCAGCACATTACATCTTCCAAGCATAAGAAACAGGATATAGCAGAAGCTAGGAAAAAATTTTCTGGAAAACAACCTGACAGCAAGTATACTTCAGTCCATGCTCTAATGGATGAAATCCTTGGTGTTAACACTCTTTTTGGTCTTACAAGTTTCTGCAATTCATCCTTGAGGACAAGGATGTTTTTCAACGAGGGAGTATTTGTTACATTCTAAGTTATTGTATTTGATTATGTGATGGGCTTGCTGTTTTTAATTATTGAATTGGGCCTGTTTCATTTTACCAATTGTATGGCCGAGGCCATTTCCTTATTGCTCAACCGTTGTTCTGTTAGAGGGAGTGAGTGTGCTGTGTAGTAGGGAGATTGGAAGTTTGCAGCTGGTATTGTTGTGAGACCAGCTTGAAAATAGAAGCATGGGAATTGTAAGGATTCTGTTACGTGAAATGAAATGAATCTCCCTTGTCATTGAAATTACTTCTTCTCCTTCTATAGCTTTCTTCTCTATTCCTTTCTCTGTTCTTTCATTTTTCTATTTCAGTTACAAAATTTGTAATCCGTAAGAAAAAGAACTCATCATTGTTTCGTTAGGATTCAGGTTGAATTGCTGCATCGTCAAAAAAATTCAAGGAAAAGAGAAGTTATCTTATCTTCAATATCAAGATAAACCATCAACTCATAAAAGAATTTACGAATCTTTTGAGAATTTTTAACTTTTCAAATCATCAATAAACAAAAAATTAAAAGAATTCAGATCTGAATATTTTACTTTCATACCTTAAATCTTAATCACATGCACCAATACGTATTGGCACGGCATCCTCAAAATGATGGTTTGCCTAATTGAACTCAAACTCATAAAAGTGGGTAAAAGATGATTATAGAGGGTAAGTGGGTCTATTCCTTTTGTTGTGACAGCCAAATCTTCTAGCCCAAAATCTGTTAATGGATCTTTGGACTATATACCCCAAATTGTTTCTTTACTTTGAGTCGGACCAGGTCTACTGAAGCCCAAGTTTTGCTTATGTTTATTTTTTCTTTATCCTTTTCTATAATTATCAGAAAAGTATTTAAAACTTATGGTCTGCCTCGTCTATAATTTAAGATATCGGCTATTTGGCCACTCATCTTGTGATATGGAAAATGTGAAAATTAAGAATGAATTTTCACTCAATATATATTTTTTCAAATTATATGTATAAACATTGATCAAAAAGTATACTTTAATTAATAATTATGTGAGTATAATAATTAAGTAATCTACTGATAAAGTATTAAATTTTTAATTTTAAGGATAAGAATAAACTGGTGACAATTCCAAATAAAAAAAGAATATGATGTAGATTTTCACCAAGGTATTTTTGTAATTTTTTGCTTCAAATTACACCTTGACCATGCGACGCTCAGAATAATAAAATAATTTTCCCGGCATCAAAGGGCTAATTCTTGGGCAGCTATTGGCAATTTTCATATGATTGAAGCATATGAGCAAGCTGGAATGGGAGGCCACTCAAAGGCAAAGGTGAAAGGATTTTGGCTAGAGGGTTTATTTATTAATTTATATAACGAGTAGATTAATTAATCAAGACCTTTTTTTTTTTTTTTTTCTTTCATCTGAGTTGGGCAGCCCAGAATGCCCTTGGCAGTTGCCAATGTTTAGATGAAAAACTACGTTTGTTTGCTTTTCTTTTCCTGGGTGGTCCTGAAAATAGGATAATAGTAGTCTAGATCGAGCTGTCTCAAGATTTGCTTTGTCATCCAAAGATAGGAGTAGTGGCCCCGTATAATTTCAGTTGCATCAACCTGCAAATCCGATGAAAATTCATTTTCTTTTAACATCAATGCAATGGGTATTGAAAAGGAACTAGAGAAATAAACACTTACATTTTCAATCCCTTGAAGATCAACAGGTTGAATTCCAGCCAATCCCGTGGAAAGAATGCTGCAGACAGGAAATTGAAAAACGAGAACAAAATTAAAAAAGAGGAAGGTACAGGGTAACAAAATTAAAAAAGAGGAAGGTACAGGGTTTGAAAACCTACTAGTAGTAGCATCAGTTTTGAACATCCGGATGATAAACACAAATAAAATCATGATCATTCGATGGAAGAAATCCTATTTTATTTCCCCCTATGATTAATCGATGATAGTAAGTATACACCAATCACTTGCCTGGCACGAAAAATTATTCCAAGCGTCCAATCATTAGTACTGTAAACATTGACAAATCGTCCTGCCACCATCTGCAAACCAGGAGCAGATACTTAATGAAAGAAGAGAAGCGGAAAGAACAAAATTAGTGCTTGAAAGCAGTCAAGAATACTTTTCTGGCGTCTTCCCAATTTTCATCGTTTATTGAAACTGGTGCTCCAAGAAGAACAACCCTTTCAACAAGTTTAGCTGCAGAAATATGGTTGAAGAGAAAACTTATCAAACGGTCAATCCGAGCTACTGGTAAAAATGATAAAAAGATGGTGATTGGTGATCTTGCCATTATCTCCTTTTGTTTCAGCTAGACACTGGAGACATTTCAAGATTACTCGGCCACCCAATGAGAAACCAACGAGTGTCACGGGTCTGAAACAAGAATATTTAAACCAAGGCAATAACTCAACTACTGTCATGTTGCAAAAAGATCAGATTTTTACATGATCATATGTGGCTACCTGTTTCCCTGCAATCCATTTAGCAACACTTCAGCTAACAGCTTTCCAGCTTTATCAGATCTGAGGCAATATACACAAAAAGTTAGGGGATTGACAACTATGATGCAAAGAATCCAAGAATGCCCAAGGGAAAAATTGGAGAAAAATTGGTCAACATGTTGTGGACAAAAGTGCAGATCGTGCATGCAGACTATATGTCTAATCAAAATGCAGAACAATGTCTACCATCATCCATCTCCATTATACTTTTAAGGTTATCCATTCAAATGAAATAAAGATAACCTGTCAGCAGCAATCGCCCATGCACTATCGATAAGATCAGATGCGGTAACCAAAGCTACTGGCGGAGTTAGTGCTGTTAACAGTGTACTTAATACAGTCAGCATGGCTCCTCCTTGCATTACGTCTAATGCAATTTCTGCAAAATGCAAATACAGCTAGTTTTCAGTCAAAATGTTTTGCTAGTTAGGAAAACTTTATGGCTTACTAAGGTTAAAATTGTACTTGAAGTAAGCCACTCCCGTATTCCCGAGTTCAGTGCAATCAGATTCTCAGACTCCCATTTTAGCACATACCTACGTTTTTGGAACAACGATAATGAGACTAATTTAGTATCAAAACAGGGCGAGCAGCTTCAAGAAAATTGAAGGCTACATCACATGGCAAGCAGAACAAGAATCAATAAAAACAATAATGTCCAATATGTAACTAATATAAAATTCCATTGAACCTAGCAAAATCCATTTTCATTGTTCTTAAAAACGAAATTATTTCATTTAGAGTGGCGGACTGCAATACTGTTTTTCCGGTGTATAATTGTCAACTAATAACAAGAGTAAGTGCGAGTGAGGGTAGGTATGTGCGTCTGTCCCCTTCCTTACTTGCAACTGGATTACACCACCAAAAGATAGAAAGTTTGAAAACCAAATAAGTTTTTGGTTTTAAATTACAAAGAAACTCAAAACAGACAGAGCGTTGAATCTTAAAAACAGAAGGAAAGGAAATTAAACACAAGTACAGAAAAGCAAGAGTCAACCTACAATCAACATCTCACCTCTCCAAGTTATCATTATGATCTTCCCAAGGTCTTAAAAAATCTTCTTCATCAAAGACAATTCCAGAAATCAAGATTCCAACTGCCAGCCGCTGAAAAAATGCGGTTACTTGAAATCAGAAGTAGATTCATGAAATGATCCAGTAAGACTAAGAATGCAAACATCGTGAAGAACAATTTTTAGTAAGTCATAAAGTAGCTTATTCTAAGCAACCACAAATCTAAAGATTTAAAAAAATGAAGGAAAACTCACGCCTTGGTTATGATTTTTCCCAGTTTGTTTGAATTCAAATTCGTCAAGGCCACCCGTTCTTTTAGCCACTTTACTTCCTGCAAGACCAGCGCCAGCAGCTGGGATGCATAGAGAGTAAGTTAGTGGGTTAGTATCCACCAAATACACTACTTCGGTTAAAAAGAAAAAAGGGGAAAAAAAAAGAGAAACACTGAAAGTTTGATAACATCACAACTAGTCTGCACTCTTTGCAGCAAATAGGTCATATTTTACACACTTTAATTGTTAAATTCTCTATTTAGCAAACTTAAAAGTTCTTTATACAGCAAAATTACCTTTGATTGATAGTTTTTAGCTGTTTACTCAGCTGGTGCTGTAAGTGCTAAGTGAAGTTTCTATGATATATAAGCCTGATTTATTGACAATCCTGTCAGGATGCTGACAACATTTTGTTTTACACTTGTACTACTAATTAGTACTGTTGAAGGATTAGAGTATAATAAAAATGTTTAAGATCACCTAAAGTCCAGCATTATGCGGTTCAGTCATGCGTACTATAACTCTATAAGTTCTCAAGAAATAGCACCAAACTTAAAACAAAAGATCACGTACAACGCCCCATCGATCTATACCTCCAAATGATGCAGCAACAGCAGCTGCACCAGCGACTGATCCTGTAGCACTAGCTGCTGCGGCAAATCCACCTGCTCCAACTGCAGGTACAATGCTGCCTAATGTAGGAGCCAGGGCACCTAATCCCTGTGCAATAGCAGGGGCAGCTAGGCCTGTTATGAAAATTTTCAACGGTGAATTTATAATAAAAAATGGGAAAAAAACTTGAGGGAGAAATATATATATATATATATATATATAAATAAGTACAAACTGACGGATTCCATACCACCAGTAAGGGCCATCAAGGTTCCTCCTGTTAAAGCAGCAGCACCAATCATGCCTCCCCGTTTCCAATCATCTGTCGTACTCTTTTTATCTTCCTCTCCATCTTCCTTCTTCAGAGGAACCTTGAGAGAGAAAGCAACCATTATCTCCATAGCTTCCTACAAAATGAAATTTCCTTAAACAAGGACAGAAAAGTTCAAACGTAGCAAACAAATTACTTGTTAAAAACCAAATGCCATTCACAAATGGTACCTATAACTCAAAAGGGCATTTACAAAAAAGTTGAGTAGTTTAAGCACACAAACCATTTTAATCCATTTGACATTGAGCCAAGTAGCCAGCAAACGCAGAGCTACACGGTGCCGAGCATCATAGCCCTTTGATCCGTCGTCGCTGAGATCATCAGCTACACAAGCTGAAAGAAGCTCATAAAGAACAGTTATTTTCCTCTCCTCAGCAAGCAATTTTCTCTCTTCCATTGGTTTCTCAGAAACTTTACTTCCTGATCCATCCAAATCTTCTTCATCATTGGATACATCGAAAGTAGTCCTTCCAATTCTTCCATTAGGATCCCTAGCTGCAGCAGTTGACTCTGTCATAGGATAACCGCACCTCTCGCGGCACTTAGTTTCATAGTCACCAATCCTATCAATATCCTCAGAAGCAACGAGAGAGCTCTCTAAACTAAGTATTGTAGCATCCACAGCCTTAAGTAAAGCAAGTTCCTTTTCTCGTATTCCAGAAGAGACCCCGTCATTTTCCTCACAGAGTAATGTCAAGAACTGCGCCAAAATAAATATCATGCTCAACAAATAAAACCCAAAAAATAGGAAAATCAAATTGTTTCATAATTCGAAGATTTAGATATGAAAATTAAAAAGGGACATACTGATCCAACATGATGCCTTGGTTGAGTAGATACTCCGGCGGTTTCTTTAAGCCCATCCCAAGCTTGATCGTCCACTCCCATAAACCTAAACACCCGTACAAAATTTGTTCCAAAAAAAAGTAAATAAATATAGAAAAAAATGGACCCAAAGCTGGGGGTTATACATTTATACCTGAAAACGGGCAAAAGCAAACCGGAATTCTCATGGATCCAAAGCTGGGGATTATCAGAGACCGAGACAGTGTTATTAGTGCTTGCTCCTTCGCCGATTGGCTCTTCTTTTAGAGAAAGGAGAGGATTCGTTGGGCGTTTTTGGTGAGCCTGAGAATGGTGAAGAGCCAGAGCGAACAGAGCTGAGGCTGCGTATTTCTGTGTTGGTGAAAGTATCGATGTTTCCATTGCCATAAATATCGCTTACAGTTTTGCAATTTGAGAAGGGGAAAAGGGACAAAGAAAAAGATCAACGAAATTTTCAATCATAATTGGTGATGAAAGTAAATGGAAGTCGAAGCTATAGCTTGACTTTTTCAAAAGCGCACCGATTTCGCGGGGAGCAATGTAACGGCTACTGCACGTGATATCACGTGATTATGGACAATAATGGTGGACTATCATGGACTTTAGGGGGCCCATTGGACTCCTATCTAGCTTGGTTTAGGGTCACAACAATTATAGACCTGTGGGGCCCGTTAGACTTACATTTAGCTCGGTTTAGGGTCACACAAAAAATAGACCCCTCCCATCAATTAAACTTATCAATTCATATATTTGTATAATATAAAATATTAAAAATTTATATATTTATGTCATATGTTATATAAAAATTATTTGTTATAATTTATATCAACATAAAAATATAAAATATATATTTTTTATTTTATTAAATTTATTTATAAATTTTATTAAAATTTTAAATAATATTATATTTATATTTTATTTATGTCGTTTTTATATTATATTATCATATCGTGTTTGAAATTATTGAATCTCATATGCTTATTTATCTTGACTTTAGCCATGTAATATAAGGGAGGAATCAAGTTACGTCAAAAATATTTTATACATATATATATATATATATATATATGTAGAAATAGACAATTACCAGAAACCGCTGTTTTTTTATTTTATTGTTGTTGTTATTTATACCATCCTGTTATTTGAAGTAAATATAAAAATAGTTGTCATTGTTAATGAATATTCCAGTAGAAAAAGAAAGTGGGATATGTTTTTATTCTGTTTTTTTTTTTTAATCCCAAAAACAGAAGACTAAAGATAAATCCCTGCAAAAACTGGTATGAGAATCGGTTTATTGTACAAGGGCATGAAGCCCACTGAACACATTCATGAACTATATGTTGCACAATGGTCAATGGATGACTAAAATAACAAATTGGAAAGGTTAAAGACTAGCAAAAAGACTTCAAACCAACTAGCTACGGAGCTTTGTGGGATTGCAAAGTAAAGCACATGTACTGATCTTTCATGGCTTCAGCCTCACGTTCGTACTCTTTGAATTTATATTCATCCTGTTTGAAGTTAGGGGGAACCTTTCCCTCACTGTAGCATTGATTACATAGACTAAAATGAGACTTCATTTCCTTAAAGCGGGAACCAATGATTGGGTAATGGCAAGCTGAGCAAACATGGCGTCCATGACGATTCCTATCTCCAGTTTCTAACTTCAACAGAGTGGACATGATACCAAAGCCACAATCAGGATCATCGAACATGGCAAGAAATTCATTGAAAGATACCATCGAGGAATCTGTTTCTCCATGAACTTCCAGCATTTCACTAACTCCATGAGAAGGAACATAAATAGCCCTCAACAATTTGATGTACCGAACAGCATCTACCTTTCTAATCTGAGAACCACCCTCATTTACTGGCCGCCATAAGAGTGCATCAAAGGCAATCCTTTTTCGCTTATCTGGAGGTCCATTACAAATGGGAGCAAGAACAGCATAAAAGATGCCCAAGTCCACCCTACCCGATCCTGTTTCATCCAAGATAAAGAGGATTTTCTCATTTATAGCTTTGACAGCTCCTTGGAAGGTTTCAGGTTTTAGAAAATTAAGTAATCTGCGCAGCATTTCTTCCAAATTAGGCTTGCGCATAGATTTCCGAGGACCACCACCACCAGAGTAGGAGACTGGTAGATCAGTTTCGCTCATTTCCTTCTTCAAAAGATCCACTTCACAACGGCTCAATCTAGTAATTCTCTGGAAAGCCCTAATTTGAAGAGCATTTCCTAAATCCTGCCTCAATGTAGTCTTCTCATCCACCCTCTTGAATTTTGATGGCTCCAATATTACAAAAGCCCCTTCCCGATTGGCACCACCGTTAATCTTCACCTTCTTCTTCTGTAGCTGCTTCAGATGGTAAATGGCATCATGTAATTCGACCCTGTTTGTCATTTTCCAAGCCTCCTTCAAAGCTTTCTTAGCTTCTTCAGTTTCCGCAGCTCCCAACAAAGACACAGCCTTATTGAGCTGTGCCCGCCAATGATTTGGCCACACAGCTAAAACCCTAGCGTACATCTCAGAAGCTCTCTGAAACCTACCCAGGTCCATGTAAAGCCCACCTAGATTGTATAAAGCATCAACATGACCCGGATTCAAATCAATAGCTTTCTGGAAAACCTCAATTGCCCTCTCATCCTCACCCATAGCATGCAAAGCTGATGCTAAATCACAACATGCATCAGCATAATCTGGTATCATAAAAATAGCCTCTTCTAAAGCCTTAACAGCTGCTCTATATTCCCCTACCCCGAAAAGAGCACTACCCAAAAGTTTTAAAGCTCTAAAATGAGTAGGACAAAGAATAGCAGCTTCTCTATAATACTCACAAGCACTTAAAACCATACCTTCTCCTTCAAGTGCAATTCCAAGATTGACATAAATCTGAGGAAGCAAGTAACCGCTTTGATTCCCACCTGCCTCAGCTGATTCCAAAGCCAGCAAAAACTCTTCTTTAGCTTCTTTATACTTCCCTAACACATACAAACAACTCCCAGCTCTAAAATGTGGCCTCACATCCATTGGCTGCAATTCGCAAGACCTCTTGAAACTAACCAAAGCTTCTTTAAACAACTGATGCTCATATAAAGCCCTTCCAATTGCCATGTGTCCATCAAATGCTTCTTCTCTTGACCTTGCCCCATCAGCTCTACTCCTTAACGCTCCCAATTCTTTAACAAAAACAGCGTAGTCAGGCCCAAATTCTTCCCAAGATACCCTCTTCTCTGAAAGCTCAGCAGATGGTCCTAATTCCCTTGACCACCCGGCATCCGAATACGCATCAAAATTATCATTTTTAAATTTCCTATCTTTTGCTTGCTTTGCTTTCAATCTCTTCACTAAATTCTCCAAATCGTCGATAAGCTTCCACGTGTCATCGAAAACTATTCCTTGATGCGGTGACAAGGCCCAAGTTGCCGTCCGTTGCTTCTTCTGTGTCTCCATTACTCTCTCATCCACAAACGACGACGAAGATGCTCCGGAAACAATTGACGCGCCTTTATTTTCGTCGAAATTGAGCTCGAGACCCAGCGCGTCGAAGTCACGGTCCACGTCACCGGCTCCATCGTCGTAAGTTCTCAACAAACCGTCAAAAGTTAACCCCTTTTCACCGTCGATGAACTCCTCATAGGTTCGGAACACTTCATCGAGAATGGCGTTGATTTGTTCGTCACTAAAATTGACTCTGGGGTTAACGGCAACGACCAACGCTGCCATTTCATCTCTGTTAAGACCCCCATCTCGGTTCATGTCAAATTGCTGGAAAATTCTCTTCACCTTCCCTGATCTACTCCCTCTTGTCGTCATTTTCCCTACCCTTTTTTCTTTTCTTTTAGGGTTTGGAAACTGAAAATGGAAATGCCAAGGTTATAATAAATTGGGAAAATGAGGGGGCAAGAAAAAAGAGAAACGATGGGTTTTTTTTTCTTTTTTTATACAAGGAGAGAAGCTATAAATTAGAAGAGTTTGAAGAGGGAATAATAAAAAATAATTCATAAGGGGTTGTTTAACTTTGTTTGGTTTAATTTTGGGTTTTGGGGATGTTTATTTGGTTTCATTGGATCCGGAGAAGTAAAGGAAAGAAGAGAAAGAACTGGAAGAGAGTCGTTGAGTTTTTTTTTATTGCTTTTCCAACTTGTGTTTCTGGCTCTAATGTTTAAGGTGTGGGGGCAATCACAATTGAAGCCCCACAAAAAGCAGACCCTTTTTTTTTATTATTTTGTTTGAGGAATTGTTTTAAATCTTTGGTTTTTGTTTTGATTTTGGAAGAGAAGAGAGGAGAGAATGATTTTGAATGAATGGTTGGTTAGCAGCTGGCTATTGGGCTTAATTTGAGGCGAAAAGTTGATAACTGCCAGTTGGCTGCAGGCTGGTCCATATGAGAACTACATGTTTGTATTTATGGTGGGTGTTTAGATTTCGAGGAATCTGAAGTGTCAAAAAACTTACATTGTCCCAGGGGACTTGAGAGATGATAGTTTCGGGCTCATCATCAACAAGGCCTTGGTTGTAATCTCCTCTAGAGCCAGGGTTAGCAAGGGTTTTACAGGCCGCTTGGAGAATCTGTCTTCGCCTAATTAAGGAGTTTTGACCGAACCCGCATTGAGGCGATTTCGAAACACTCGCTTCGTATTCCATCACCTAGAAAATGAGTCTCGGCTCCTAACACCTGTTTTAAAAATGACTATCTTTTAATTCCCTAAACTAACAAAATTTAAAACGAACCTAAATTAGTTAACTAACTGACCTTGTAGAAATCGAGGGGATGGATAAGTGGTGCTCGGGAGGAGGGGAAAGAGAGTGGTGGTTGAAGAGCAGACGCTGGCGCTGGAGCGGTGGAGTTAAAGAAAGATTTGTTCCTAGGCTTATGCAATGAACTTAAAGATAGTTGTCATTTTTTATCAGGATCAATAATCCGTTGTAGTCTAGTTGGTTAGGATATTCGGCTCTCACCCGAAAGACCCGGGTTCAAGTCCCGGCAACGGAACTTTCTTTTTTTCGAAGTTCAAACTCCTGGCTGGCTTCAGAAATGAGAAACAAATTATGTCAGTAAAATTTTTTACTACTATAAGTGGTACAATAATTTGGAAAATGCTAGGGCCAATCTATCTTTTCTCCCAGAAAAGAACTGAAAATTTCCTAGACTCTTTGCACCTTTCAATATTTTTGCATTACTTATCTCAATGCTGATTTATGCATCATGCTAAATGAGAGACTAGTTTGCAATAATAACCCTGGAGCAATGGCGAGAGACTCATAACACATAAAAGCTGCGCAATGGTGGGTTCAAAATTAAAATACAGAAGCAAAACCCCCTTGTTGAAGTATAAAAACAAAAGGGTTAAAACTAAAATTACAATTTCTTATAGTATTTAACATGTTTTACATTATAAATGGAGTTCCACTTTACATAAGTAATTGTCCTGATTCAAGTATTACGACCCAACAGCCAATACCTAAAATATAAATATAATAAAAGTTACAGGCAAAGAATGTTTTATTGACCCAAAGAATCTTCTGACCAATGAAACCCTGTGATTATGTATTTATACAACAAATGTGTAAGGAAATTACAACATGCTTTCTTCTATGCTGATTCCAGACCTTCAGGAAAGGGTTCATTATCAGGGTGAGGTGAGAGGAATCTCCTACAAGCATGCAACATAGCTGAATGGAATCCATCTGGATTTTCAAGGAATACAAAATGTCCAGCCTGCAGATGCGAGAAATGAAAGATAAGGAGTCTGACAGGAAGGATAGCATTTGGGCTGTAAAAATAAAATAGTCCATTCAAGGTTCCAAAATAAAGCTTTCATGGAAAAATAAAATGTATTTGGCAGGTGATGCTGCCCATGTTATTTCTTATATATTGCAGAAGTAAACAGAGCTGCGGAACATTGGCCAAAAGAAAAAACAGACCTGAGGAACCCTGATAATTTCACACGGGACCTTCATTTGCTTGCGAGCTTCTTGGGCTCCTTGATAGTTCATCCAATCTTGAGCCCCATATATAAAAGTAGTTGGCACTTTCCACTCGGATGCACTATTCACAGAAAAAGAAAAAAAAAAAAAGAACGTAATTCATTTATGTCTTCCAAAAACCTCAAATCTTCATTTTTTAGTAGATTGCATCACAGCTCTAGACTCTAGCTAATGGTTCATATGACTCTTATATCAGTCAGGTTGAAATTTTGAAAGTGTCCTCTAGTTTCAATTTAGATGTTATGCATGCGCTCAAGGTTTTGAAGAACTATTTTCCATTGCAAAAGTTTTCATGATCCTGTTCTTGCAATGAGCAATGCACTAGCATTATATAAAATGGTATGGCCTGCAGAATGAAGCTTTATGATCATTACAAAGGCATTCCTTTTTACTTTCTCATACCAAAAAAATTAAATCCATAGACAAATTCTTGGCCTTTAATAAAACCAGCTTCTTTATCGCGCATCTGCCCAAATTTCCCAAGCAAACTAACAGAGATGTAATCACATTGTAGAGAATGTTTTCAAGTCAATGTGAGATATTGCACAAATGAAATTCCTCAAGGTCTAGACAGAATCTTGACCAATATAAAATAGGCAGATGTTAGGCCATGCAATGAACCCAATTGAAAATAAGTAGATAAACACCTTTACTGGACTAATAGATGAGTTTAATCAAGCAGGGCAATCAAACCTGTTTAAAAGGGGCATCCGAGCAAATGCTCCAAATGCAAATATATATTTTAAGCACAGCTCTCCGCTTGCTTTAGCAGCTGAAGTATGGTACATATAATCTTCAACCAGGAAGAACAGGGGAAAAATAGCTGTTAGATATCCATTATTTACTTAAACATGAGCCAAATACAAAATCTAAAACTCCTATCATACCTGTTAAAAGTGTAGACTCCTCCTCTGTCAGTACATTCCCAGCTGAATATCTAGGACTAAATCTAGCAGTTGTATACTTACGCACAATACCTGGACCCCACGGACCTAAACCTCTGCATAGAGAATCATCCAAAAAATTCAATTATTGATGCAAAATGCAATCCAAGACAACAGAATAAGTGAAAATGAATGTAAAATGAAAAAAAAAAAAAGAAAAAACCAAATCAGATCAAGAGGGCTTTGAAAGAAATATATAATAACAAAGGAGACCTACAAAATTATTCCAACAACTATTTCCCAATAGCAATAGGTTACCAATGATCATCTTTGAACCCTTACTTTTTTCCCCTAATAATGAACAAATTACTAGACACGTTTAGAACATAATGCATGAGGTTGTAGTTTTGGGAGATCAGTCCAGAGAAAGGTTTAATAGCTAAGTCTGATTTCAGGGTGCCAGTTAAGAAAATAGGACAAGATAAATACAAACCTTACAAGCTTCTGAGGAGTAAAATTAGACTCCCACAAATGATACAAAATTACCCCTTTCCATGTTGCTCTGAAGCGGGTTAGCCACTCAGATTTTCCATCTGATTCTGATGAAAATCCAGCAGGCCCCACTAAAATTAAGTGTTGAACATGTTCAGGATGCTACAAAATAAGCACAAGGGCCATTAGAATAAAAGATGTGATGTCAGATTACTTTTAGCATTCAAACATTTAACATGTAAAGGCAATCACCTTGAGAGCATATTTAGCTGCAACATATCCTCCAAAAGAATGCCCAAGTAATATAAAGTTACTGAGATTTTTCACTTTACGCCACTCCTCGAAAGAATCAACAAACCATGCCTCAGTTTCTGCATTATCAATACAAGAAAAGGTGAAACACATATGCAATAGCTTTCGTAACATCTGCTAAATGAAGAGAGACAAAGGGATTATTAGCATTCTGGTATCTAACCTTCAGTGCTTTTGCATGTAAAGTCAGGCCTGCTTGATCCACCCCAACTGGAGAAAAAGGCGAAGATAGACTAAGAAACTATAATGGAATGTAGATATCAACCTAAGCAACACATGAAAGATTTGTTTTCGTGCAGCATGGCTAAAAGTAAACCATAAACGAACCCGAAAACTGAACAAAATTCAAGTTATCACTAGTACTATTCAGCTTGGTCATGCCAAAAGCATAACCTTCAGAGAAAAGGAGCTTACCCAAGCTGATCAATAGCAATGACCTTGAAACGATTGGCGAGATAATCGAAATTCTTGAAAAAGAAACCTTGAGAAGCAGCATACCCATGAACCATAACAAGAGTAGGAGAACCCTCTTTGCTATCAAAGGTAACTGTATTTATGAACCTCGGTTCGTTACTCGCAGAACGAAACCACCTGACTCTAGAACCAGGTGGACCTGAACCTATATTCACTTGTTCTTGCACATATGGAGTCCTGAAATTTCAATAATTCATTCATAATTATCCAATTCTTATCAAAGTTTTCACCAAAATTAAAACCATAAAACCCAATTATCGAATTCAAGAACGTGCAATTAAAGTATGCGGCTTTTTCAAGCGTAAACTTATAACTAGAGAAATCAAAACATTGATAAGGAAAAGGAATTGAAGGTTTACTTACTTGACGAGAGAGAGAAGGCGTTTCTCAGCGGCGATAATGTGGTCGGTGGAAGTAGGAATCCAACGCAGAACGGACGGCCATAACGATCTGGATTTCGCTTTAGTCGTTGGAAGGGATTGAAGCTCGGGTTTATTAATTTCTTCGGTCATTTTTTCTTAAAATTAAGCTGGACGAACGATAGAGAGCGTGGCTCGTATGATATTCCTTTTGCTTTAAAAACACAAAACCCCACGCAGTGTTTATATTCGAAAGCTTTGATTTTGACTGGCTGAATTTTCATTTTCTGTAATTTAAAAAAATAATAATAATAATATTAACCAGACTTTGGACACGTGCGCTGCTGATTAGAACATGATGTTAGCGAATACCCAATGGTGTCTGAAATTTGCCTTTAAATGGACGCGTAGATACGATTACGTTGGCGATGACGTACGAGATTTCGTGAGCAATGATTATTCTCTTTGGCTCTCTTCGTCCCTGAATCTTGAAGCGCAAGTTTTTTTTGTTTTTGTTCTACGGTCAAATAAACTCTAATGAGGCCCACTGGCCTAAATGTGGGCCAGAAACTTTAACCCGATCGCCTCTCTGAAAGCCCATTATTGAGACAGAACCCTTCTCAAGAAAGCCCATAATAGTATATTATAAGTAAGCGAAGCAGTCATTCTTCACGGTTAGTCGATGCATTGATCAGGGCAATGAGGCGTTTACGGTCATACAACAAAGAAAATGAATCTGAAGCCAACTGTAAAGACTCGATGAGGGTTAGCTGGGGCACTTCTGACTTAAGGAGAAGTGAAGCTTGCTGCGACTGCAAGAAGAATTTCATGTAAGAGGAGGATTTATGCAAGTTGCCATGGATTTTAAGCAACCAGAGCAGGTTTGTGGCAGTCCACAGACCAATGGCCCAACGAGCTCATCCCATTCACATTAAACTCAGCATCTAAAACAGCTTAAAGAGAGAAAACCAGCAAAAAGAATAATGAAAACAGTAATTCTACAAGGCTTACATGGGATCCACAAATACACAATCTTATAATGATTAACAACTAATTTATATCTCTAATCTATCATCAGCTACAGCCACTGTGAATTTCTCAATCTGTAGAAATGCTCAACACAGGCATCCAAGAAATTTTATGCGGAAAACACTTCCTGAGCAAAACTAAAAACAGAGAGATATATTTGAACAATTCTTCAGGAACCACAGCCAACCATACAGTCACTAGTAATTGGGGCTTTTTTCACTCAGCTCTTGACTGACCAGCTCTGGAAGAGAGAATAATGCCGACGATCAAGCCATATAGTGCCAATGCCTCAGCAAAGATGAGAATGAGGATCATCCCAACAAAAAGCTTTGGCTGTTGTGCATTTGCTCTACAAAATCCAATTAAACAATAAGACGAGTTTCAAATCAATACTGCTTGCAAACTACTTAGCAGACAAATAATGCAACAAATCATCAACAAGAGTAGTAACAAATATCAACTTAAACAAAACGAATGATGGCATCCAGACTTATAATAAAACAAAATGAATAACAGCATCCAATCTTAAACATTCATCTTTCTTCCCAGATCCCAAACAATCAAAAGTCACTTAACATTAGCTTATGATCTTAATCCAACTCAAGGATGCTACGTTTGGATACATATTAATAAAGGAAAGGAAAGAAAAATATACATGTACTCCTTGTTCGGATAATTAAAATTAATAAAGAAAATGAAAGAAAAGAAATTCTAACAACAATTGTTTAGATAAATAGTAAAAAAAGAAAGAAAATAATTGATTATAATATTTTTTTCTAATTAGAATCTTTTTTTTATAAAGCAACATATAATATATAAATATATCCTTATACTACTTAACTTATATAAACAAATCTTTCCGAACAAAATTGAGCATGTTTAATATAGTAAAATATATTAACTAATTATTAATTTAATCTTAATTTTGTATTTAATTTAACCTTTTAATTTATTCCGACAATAATTTGACTTGTTTTGTTGTTAAAACTTGAAAAATTATAAAATATTTATAAACTGTGATGTTATATAAAATACTCATAAAAAAAATTATTTTTGTAAAAAATGTCAGTTATAAAATTAAATCTAATGTCATAATAAAAATATGAATATAATAATCTTTTCATAAAAATAAAACTTTTTTAACCTTCCTTTCCTTAGCTTTTCTCTCAAATTGAAGTATTAAAAAAGTAAAAATTACAAGGAAAACCAAAGGTTATTAGATTTTCATCTCTTTCTTTTCTTTAAATTAAAAGTTTATCCAATCAAAGAAAGAGTTTTTTTATTTCCATTACTTTCCTTTATTTTCCTTTCCCTCAATCCAAACATATTGTGAAGGATCCTACTTAAATTTATCCCAAGCTGCATCTAAACAACGAAGTGAAGAAAGGGCGACATGCAGGGTTAACAAGGTAATATAAAATGCTCAACTTGGTATTTTTCAGGATAAACATCAAAACCCCAGAAATAATACCAACTTTATGCAGAGAAAATGTACAAAATTGATATGACCATAAAACATAAACCATCTAAATATAAACTGAAACGTTTGCCCCAGAAATAATACCTAACGCCAGCATCACCAACGATCCCAATAGCCATACCAGCGGAAAGACCAGCGAGGCCACAAGCGAGACCGGGTGACAGATGCGCGTACCCATCGAAAAGGTAATAAGATTTAGCTTTTGGATTAATTCCGGTACTAATGATAACAGCAATAATTAAGCCATAAATACCAAGCACACCAGCCATAACCACGGGTACGATCGACTTCATTACCAGCTCTGGCCGCATCACCCCCATCGACGCTACACCAACCCCACTCTTAGCGGTCCCATAAGCGGCTCCCATACCTGAGAAACATCCGATCAAAACCCACCCCGAGATCCACAAAGATAAAAATCATTTATTATTAACAACAATCCGAGCATCGTAAATGGCTTACAGGAGAAAACAAGGGCAGCAGCGGCCCCCAAGAAGCCGAAGAAAGGAGCAGTTTCATCCCCGCTGAATGTTGAAGACATCTTTTTCCCGAGGAGAGTAATGGATCGGATCTCAGCTCCTCCAAATGTAATAGTAATATTTTTTTTTTTGAAAAAAAAAAAATCTATTCGTAGATATTTATACGAAAGCTCTCCTTCCCTCCCAGGAAGATACGTGGAAATTGGGCTTATTTTATTTGGACATTAGTCATGCTCTTCTGCACCAATGGAAACGTACGTACCAGTCATTCGGGTGTTACATTATAAGAATCTATTTGGGCCGTACCCTTGGTCCTGTCCACCCAATTCTCTTTTTAACTTTTTTTTCGCATTTTGCTTTTTCGTAAAAAGCTGGTATCTGATTACAATATATATAATCAAATACTGATTGGCTTTTTAAAAAATGGGGTTGAGAAGATCCTAAGTGCATAGCTTTTATCCATTTTTTAGCATATATAAGTAAGACGTTTCTTGGACTTAATTTAATCTCGGGTGTGATCATATTAAAGAAACACATTTCCATGATCTGAAAACAACTAAAATTGCCCATACTAATGCTTCACTTGCTAGAAATGATAGAAAAGAGTAAAGATGAAAAACTTGTACGTCTAATGATTAAGATTCATAATTACTTTTTTATTTTATAACTTAATCATTAAATTAACAAATTTTCTATTCTTGTTACCAATCAAATTCCAAATTCCAAATATGGTTTCCATATAGGGGGGCAATAATTGTTCAAGACCCGGCCACATCCTTTCTCTCCCCATCTCTATGGGTGAACGTTTAGAATCACAAGTCATCAACAAGCAACAAAAGATAAAATGCAAAGCAATTTTTCAACTATATAGATCCACTTGTGTAACTGAATGAACCACATGTTCATATTTGTCAGCAAAATACATTGACAAACCTACCATACCTCAATTAACCCGAGATAAGGGTCTAATTCTTCAGAAGCACCCAAGTTCCCACCGATGTAGATCTCTGCTCTACCTATATATTGGATGGGACTAAAACCATCATCATGTTAAAGCAGTTACATCTAGTTTGTCCGATGGAAAATAACATGCTAAACATCCAAGACAAAAGCACACGTACATATATTCCATCTTCAGCTATATTAATTGGGTCTTTGCAACATTATCATTCAACCTGTGGTCATACAATAGTTTCTAGGCACTAAGAATTCAGAAAATATAAGAGATAAAAGAGCACATACTTCTCATTGGCCAGCCACAACATTTTGCCAACCTGGAATTCTGAAGTGGTGTTAGCAATGAAGTAATAGCCAATAAATGAAATGGACATTCCATTGACGTTCTGCATACAGAAGTGTATAACATGAAACAGCCAACTAGTATTGCAGTGTAAATTCCTCTGACTTACCCAGTAGATGATATACAATATTAATATGCTAATGCTTTATGAATTCGAAACCATCTAAACCGATATCATCAGACAAGTAACTCACCTTATCATTTCAATTTAAATGTCACATAGGAAATAGCTTAAATTCCTCAATGATGAAACGAAGAAAAAAAATCACTTCATACATACTGATGGTCAGATGCCATGCAATTCAACCCCAACCTCCCAATACAGACGCACACAAAAAACCAAGACAAAGTATGTAGATATTGTCCCTCTGATTCATTCCATGCAATTAAAATGTCATTCCTTCAACAACAAATTGAAGAAAGAATTGAAGTTAGCAATTGATGTTCAATTAAAAAATCAGGACAATATTGAAGTATTTTCAGATAGATGATCTCCATATGCTTGTCATCACTAAAAGAATACTAAGCTGTACACATCAAAAACAAAAAGAAAAGTAAGACAGGTAATGTCTCATCAGTGGGAATCCCAAATAAAATTTTGGGTCTTGACTACCACCCTCCAAAGGACAATGTTGTTAAGCCAATTAATATAAAGGATCTTGATGTCATCTTCAAAGCTAACCGATTGCCCACAATCCAGATGAGATGGATGAGCGACAACACTTTTATTGAGCCCATTTATAATAAAGAAGCCAATTCAACATCCAAAAACAGCCTCTCTACTTTATTCCACTACCAGTTCCGATAAAATTTGCAATAAGGCATCAACTTGAGCGACTTTTGCTTTGCTTTGAGGGTCAATCAAGATTGTAAAACACTGAACCATGTTTTTTCTTCCAAGGACACCTTATGAATCATGAACTGCAGATTGTAGAACTCTTTGTCCAGCACCACCATCATTTTAAGGCGGTGAACTCACTCACAGAGAGGCTTTTATAGGTCTTGCAGAGAAGCGGCCAATAAAGCATAACCAGTCAATCCTTTAACACCATCATGGTTTCATGACTGGCTTCATTGCCATGTGCCTCTCAATCAATTTGTCCACAAAGGAACGAATCTGCATGTCAAAGACATCCAAATTAAGTTTTATCAAGAATCCAAATCTGTATAATACCATTAAGTATCCTGTATCCATTTTCACAAAGGCATATTCCAGCTCTGAAAGAGTGACTGCAACAAGGTTAACTATCTAACAGAACAAAAAAAAGCAGCAGTTGTCCTCTTCACAGTAAAAGGGAAAGGAAGAAGCAATCACTTCAGCAATAGGAACTCTATTAAAATGATTATGAAGAGTACTATGATAATAAGAATCATAAATCAAAGTTAATGTACAATCGAAACATAACAAAAGCAACAATACCCAGGCTGTATCATCACGATAGCAATTAATGAAGCCAGTAATGTGCATCAGAGAATCCTTTAAAATTTGGGTGGAAAAAAAGAAAAAGAAATGATAAACCAACAGGTCTAATAGGTAGACTGGGTAAATAGATATAAACCTAATATGGCACATATATAATGCATACCTTATTTTTGCGCTTGAAATCAAGAAATTCAGAAACAGCCATGTTTTTCTCTGCATCAGTTGCCTGCTCCATTACCTGGTAAAAGAACTAAAAGCCTAAGACCAGAATGGAAGTAGAGGCAGAAATGAAGTTGAGAACTAAGGAGTGAAAGACAAGAAAGGGAAGAGAAGAAACAGAAACCTTTCTTGCAGTTTTCTTCATTATTGATTTGTATCCCTCCCTATCAAATTTTCTTGCCTTATAAAGGGGCATTAGCAATGATGCAACATAATCAACAACAGCATGTTTAATACGATCAGCTCCACGAGGATGATTCTTAAATTGCTCCTTGTTTACAGTAACTTGGGAGACTGAGCTCTCATTCGCTCGCCCGTCATGCTTTGAGGTTGGTTGCCTTGAACTAGTATTTGAATCTTCCTCATCCTTGAAATACATTGTCGGATGGAAGAAATCTGGATCAGCAGCAGCTGCTTGAGACTGCCATCGCTCAATGGCATGATAATCCTTAATCCCCCCACTACAGGCAGTATCAACCCATGCTTTTGTGAAGATACTGCTGTCCACAGCCAAACTTTCTCCAGAGTGCTCTCTAAGTTTCAAGTGGCTCGCGATCTCATTGGAATGGCTCCTCTGAGACAGGTTATCTACTGACATTCTGGAACTATCAATGTTAACACAAGCAGCAGAGAAATCAACAGACCAGTCCCTAACTCTGCAGTTCCTAGAGTCTATTTCTGATATACAATCTTGTCTTCCCAAAAAACCACCAGGCCACTTCCTTTCATCCATTTGTGCATATTGCTCCCTTCTGGCAAATTTGTGAAAAGAAGGAATCTTGGGAAGCTGCAGCAATTTGTTGCAGTTGGCTTCTGTGGATGCAAGTGCCTACAAAGTACAATAGTTAATCTCTTTATAAACACAAGTCCATAACCACAGCTGAAAAGAAAGAAGGAAATATTTTTTTAGTGAAGATGACAAACAAAAACTATAAAAGTATATGAATAATATGGTTATAGAAGGCAATGTTAAGCAACTCTTTGCATTTTCAAATTAATGTCGAAAAACTGTCACAAGTCATCCAAATTTGGCCAGTCTATACTAATGATGTTAACTTGATCAAAAGTAAAAAGAAGCATGTCATGCAAGTCTTTCACAGTACAAAAGCCTTCATGCAATATTCTTAAAAAATTATGTGAGATGGCTGAATGTTAAAAAAATTAACAGCAAAACAAGGGATAAGCTCTATAACTCTTTTGGTCTTTATGGGAAACAAGATAAAGCCAAACATCCAAAAGCACAAACAAAGACTTCTTCAAGGTGGCATCCAAGTATCAGTTGTTTAAAGGCAGTGCATCAATGTAGATATGCCAATGTAAAAAGGATAAAAGAAAGAACATACCTCAGCAGCAGCTTTTGCTGCAGCTCGAGCGGCAGCTTCAGCAGCAAAGGCAGCCTGCTCTTCCTCAGACATTCCTAGGTTGACAGCTTCCACCTCCATATCAATTGATTTGCCATGCTCTTTTACATTGAAAGGATACTGGTTTCCAGCAGAGAAAGGATCATGCAAGCTTCGTTTATTCTCAAAAGCACCATGAAGTGAGTGTAAAGGTGGCTTTCCTGAGGCTGGATCTTTAAGGGATTTTCTCTTTGAAGAAGCTTTTGCCTTACGGAAGACTTCAAGCCACACATTTACTAGCTGGCTTGCTATAGCACGAATGTCACGACTTGTATGTACACAAACTTTTTCCTTCACAGTTTTCCCAATTCCTAAAATTAAATAATTATTAATAAAATGTCATCTTAGTCACTTTTATTCATTGCATACTACTTCGTGGAAAAGCCAACAGAAATTTACATACAAACAAAACCTTCACACATGCCATCCAAGTACATTGCAAATGATACAATATATATGACATGCATAAAATAAGCCTATACCTGAAGAACGAACTGCAAGTAGATCAGTTGAAACAAGCACAAGAAGACGGACACAATGGCGCAACAGTTGAGTTCCATCTTTCCCCATCGAATCCTATAAATTTCAATTCAAACACAATAAATATCAAAGCCCATTATTTAAAGCCATCAAATAAATGCATTACTAGATCAAAATCCATATTAGGACTCAAGGATGGATAGTAAATCATGAATAGCAATAATACCAGCATCCATGAGTTGAGTGTGGTAAGCCCTTCCTTTGTCCCAGCAAAGGATTTCAAGGATTCAACTGGAAGACCTAACAACGTTTTGGCCAGATGCAATCGTCCTGCAGTGGTTTTCACATTAAAGAACATGTCCCGTAGTAAAGCTTCCCTGGCCAAAACCTGAGCTCGATCCAAAGAGTTTTTGTACAACACATTAGAAAGTTCAACTGCTTCAAGTCTCCTAATTATGTCCCTGACTTCATCCCTTTCTGATTCTGATTGTCTCTGTGCAGCCTCCATTGCCTCTACTTCAGCTGTATAATCATTTCCGGAGGTCAATATGTCAATTAGCCGCACGGCCTCCCGGAGTCCACTCAACATTGCACCACCAACTGTGTCAGGATGCTCCTTGCAGGTAGCTTCTCCAGCAAAAAACAAGCAGTTCTCAACAGGCCTGCCCAACATATCATAGTCTTCTCCCGATGCTCCAATGGCAACATAGGAGTAAGCACCATAGCTGAAAGGATCCCTGCCCCAATCAGTCACTACCGAGGCAACTGGATCAGGAACAGAAGCCTCTCCAAAAAGTTTACGAAGAACAATCACAGCATGGTTTACCTGATCCAATGAGCTCATACTTTGACCATCAATAGCTGCCTTACCAGCCACTAAAGCTATAAGAACAGGAGCCCCAACAGTTTTTCTGACATTCCAAAACATAAAGCAACGGCCCCTACTATCTGTTTCCTCAGCAGTCACTCCAAAGTAATCCACAGTATCATCCCAAAACACTTCTGGGAATTCCAAGACGACTTTATTAAGAACTCCAAAACCAAGCTGCTCTATGGAAGATTGTTTCCATTGGGGCAATGAAGGAAAAAACTTTATGGCTCCCACTTTCAAGCAACCAAGTGGCACAGTGATAAGCGCAGCATCTCCTGAAAACTCACTGCCATTTGATGTGGAAACTTTGACCTGCCTATGTTGATTATTATCAATCCCAGTGTCCTTTGGGCCATATGAAATATTTGTGACTACATGGTTCAAGTGGATGAGAAGTCCTTCTCCAAGAGACTCAACCACAGTACTGTAACCACCTTTAATCATACAATGGGCTCCTCCAAAGCCGCCATAAACATCATCTTGATTCCAGTGGGGAAGAGACACTTCCTTAAGCGAAGCAGCACAACCATACTCCAAGTGGGCATAGTGCCAATTCATAACCCTCCTCTCAAGCGGACTCAAAATCTCCTCTTCAGAACTATTTTCTTCAGGAAATTTTCCAACGACATTGATTGCTTTGGAATCATAGAAAGCATCCACTGAAGAATGTGGTTCTGTTTCTTCAATATCTGCTCCTATTTCTTCCATGCGATGCCTTTTTAGGGCATATTCTAAACCATCCTCAAGAGACATTCTCATTGCTTTGTCACCTTTTTGAGCAACAAGAAACAACATATCATCAAGAAGAGTGTTGTATTCAGCTTCCAGAGCATCATCCAGATCTGCAGGAACCTTTTGACCAGATACAATGTCATAAAGAGGACAGGAACTATTCAACACAGTCAACTCTAGCCCCAACTGTGCACAAATCAATGAGGAAGGATCTGGTCTTCTATTAGTTGACATGTCAGCCTCAACTCCAGTAATAATGCTAGCCCCAAGATCCACAGGAACTGAAAGAGAAGAGCAATCAGTATAAACACGACCTCCTATCCTATTCCTAGCCTCAAGTACAACCACAGAAAATCCCTGACGTTGCAAGTGGCGTGCAGCAGTCAATCCAGCAGGACCAGCTCCAACAACTATGATTTTCTTTCTGACCTCTGAACCACCCTGCAGGTGATGATTCCCATCAGGATTATCATTAGCTGCAGATTGAACATATTGTGAGTCACTCCTTTCTGCTGGAGTTACTACAGGGGCTATTCCCATGTCAACTGCATCACAAGATAGATCAGCAATTGGAACCTGCAAACTAATCAATCCAGGGTTTAGTTTTGCACTGATGCTGCCATTTTTATCACTTGGGCACTCCTCTTGTTCTTTTACATAAGGTAATTCTGGTGTGATCGAATCAACCAATACTTCACATATTGTGGCTTCAGATGCCTGGTTTTGATCAACTCTAACACAATTCTTTGTGTCCATAGAAGCATCAAAATTCTTGACCTGACCAAGGATAAAGGCAACTCCATCCTCTGAATCAGCAACAGAGGCCCCAGAACTACAGTCAAAAATTTTTTCCTCTAGAAGTTTGTAATTGTACTTAGCACTAAGTTCTGCCTTCTCTTTCTTGGAAGCAATTCCAAAGTTTATATAACCCTGCAAAAAGGAGGTTAGCATTTGATTTTCTAGCAAACTTCAAGTTTAACATTAAATGTAAAAAAGTACTAAAATATGAAAAATTAAGAAATATATATAAGAAAGATATTTTATCCATCAAAAAACATATATAAGAAATTTTGACTCCTTCAAGAGTAAATACTTACACTCTGATCAAGAAATGCATATATCTCCCTAATTAGGGAAGCTCGGGGTAGTTCACCCTCTGAAGGAGTATCACTAACACCACAGTCAACAAGAGGCAAAATACGGGTAACATCTTTACTCCAAAGACCTAAGATATGATTCCTACAGCACCAAGCAATTAAATTACATGGAAGAAAACAGAACTTCTTAAGATAGAAAATCAGAAGGCAGCACATTGGAACCTGGCAACCATATCAACTCCTATGAAAGAAAGAGACCAAATACAAATCCTTGAATATACAAGTAAACTCTATGAATAATTCTAAGTTTATAGGCCAAATCACAGATCATAAAAACAACATTACCACAAAAGGTGCCCTGCACACAAGGTCTCAAGGGTAATTAATCGCTATCGTTTAAAGTTTTAAAAAAAAATAAATAGAAGCATAAAAAAGAAGCATACTAAAAAGATTTCAAAAATATTATAATTAGTAAACAAAATTATATACATATTCACAAACCTGCATTCCAAATATTCCTGCAGCCCACCTCTATGCTTCAAGACCTCCTTAAATTTGATCTTCTCAACTGGACCCACAGCACGAGCTTTCAGTCCAGCTGATACCGCTGCCTCATCAAACTTCTCTCTTGCTCTAAAGGAACGATCACCGTCTACAAACTGTTGATTTCCAAAGAAACCTTGCTCACTTATCAAATTCTCCCAATCCGCATCCCCTTCATAAGCCATGTCTCCATGTCTACGCTTTTTAATATTGCGCCCACCTCGCAGGACAACTGATAACTTACTGTCTTTGATTTCAGAACCAGGCTCAGAGACCACATCTTCATGGCAACTTTCATTTTCATCAGGTGTTAAAGATGCAGGAGAACCTCCATTGGCCTCTTTGTTTATGAAAAAACTATCATGGCTGGGAACACAGGCACCAGGGCAGGTACCTTCAGATGGTTGATGCAAAGCAGAGTTGCACCTCTGAATGGAGGCAACAAGTTCATTGGGATGATCAGAGGTTTCTAAAGATTTTTCCTCAGTGCAAGTATTTGGACCCTCACTTGAAGTCTCTTCTGCCTTTAGTGAATCAACAGCAGACAGAGACAGATTATGTTGAGTTTGTTGCGAACCTTTCTGACATTGATCAAAAACATAGCCACTTTCTAATTTGGCAGCGTCTTCATTTGCCTTTTTATAAGACTTGTTAAACAACCCATCAGTAGAGTTCTCTTTCCCAGCTAAAGAAATTTCTGGATATGCACTTGAAATGTATTTGTTTGAAATGTCCACAGGTTGAGGAAACAAGCCTCCACTACCAAACCCATGGATTTCTTCGACCTGCTTTGAGGAAGAACAAGAGTTGGGTATTTCTACCACACAGGGCACTAAAATACCTGTTCTACCAGTAGATTGAAGCTCCAATCCATCTTTTAAACCTTTAATTTCTGGTTTACCCCTCTGGTCAGCTGCTGAACAATTGTCCCTGAGCTCAATGTTGGAATGCCAATTTCCGTCACATACTTTAGGTGACCTACATGGATCCTTTGTAGGATCCTTTTGAACATTTAAGTCACGTGGTTCCAAAATGCAATCTTGTTGACACAAACCATCGTCAAATCTTAGATTCTCTTCTGTGTTACATTCTTTGGAGGATGAATGCAAGAAGCTTGAACTAGAAATTGATCGAGAACTATCATTGCAATTTCTGCTAGGATTCTTTGAAGCAGAAGCATGATGGGTAACCTTGCTATTCTGTTTCAAACTCGAATTTGGGCGAGATTTCCTTACTGAACCAGACTGTGCCTTGTGAAAAAAGGTTGACAATGACTCTTCCAACTTCTCATCCAAAGACTGATTAGAACCTTCCCCAGGCCACAAGCCTCCCTCATTCTGATCTTCCTCATGCTGAGATTCCAACCCATCTGATTCATCACCAACCCCAATGGGCTTCGCTTTTGAATCAAACTTGGCTCTCCTTACTTTCCCAGTACGCTTTTTTTCACCCCCTTTATTAGTAAGTTCATCAGACCTGTCTTCACCAATATCCTGACCTTTCACACCTGTCTTCAACACAGTTTTCCCATCCAAAACCCCATCATCAAAGGACTCATTCAAAAAATAACCTTTCTTAGGACCTTTCAACTTCTTCCTAAAGCTCGCCAACGTATCATTCATTCCCCCCAAATCATCCTCATCCTTGCCCACAGTTTTACCTGCCTTAACTTCAACCTTCTGGCACTTTTCCACACTGCCCTCCAATCCAGCCTTAACCCCTTTAGGATTCTTAGGTTTCCTTAACTTGAACAAAGACCCAATGGGCTCATCATCATCTGAATCAAAACCAACCCCTGCCCCTGCGACCTTTAATCTTTTCTTAGAGCCCCCACCACCATCCATTTTCTTGTTCCTAAGTTTCAACGAATTCTGTAATGAAACCTTCTCTAACCCTAGCTCAGCACTATTCCCCAAATCAAATTGCAATTGCGAACCTGCCTTGGAATTTGAACCACCATCACTTTCCATCTCTCAATTACCAAAAAACCAAAGCTCATAATTTCGAATAAAGACTCCCTCTAAGCAACCAAAGCCATAAAATTCAAAGCCAAAACCATTGTTCCAAAACTTATCAAATCCTTAAATATTCACCAAAAAAATGATATTCACAGCTAAAATAGATAAGAGTTTCTTCCAATTAATGAGTTTTCCACAAAGTATCGTCAATGTCTTGGTCCCGCCCTCCCTTTAGTGCGTAGAATCCAATGAGGAAATAAGATTTCGAAAAAAAATAAAAGGAAAAAACAAAATTCTAGGGTTTTTAAGACAACTATTAAGGCCTAAGGAAAGAGGTAAAGAGAAAGAGATTGGTAACAAACCAGACCTGAGGGACGAGAGCAGTGAAAACGCTGTTGATAATGGAATTTGTCGAGGAGAGTGACAGGCGCACGTTAGCGTCGATCTTTCTGGAATTAGAAGGTCATGCGGCCCTATATAGTGCGCCGCGACCACGGTGTAGTGGGAAAAAAAATTATTATTATTATATTATTAGGAGAAAATATGAATAAATTAATAAATAGGAATTAACGAACCTACATAGAGCGAACGGGAATAATGATTCTTTTATTTTGCAAAATTTAATTTCATATGTGTACTAAAATTGAAAATAATTACTTGAAGTTCAAAATAAGATAGTATTTGGATTCCAAATAAAATAATATTTTATGTCATATTTTATATTATTCGGTAAATTATACATTACACAAATATGATATTCTAGATATTACTCTAGGTTACTATTTTATAATCATTGTTGTGTGACGTATCTCATTATTTATGTTTTTTAATTATTGATTTAATAAATTTAAAAGATGAAATTAATTTTTTTTATTTATCTCTTTTATCTTTTGATTTATTAAATTAAAGGTTACAAAAATATGTAAATTTATTTTAATTTTATATCATATAAGTTTATATTTTTTATTAATTATTTAAATTATTTTAATAACATATGTAATAATTTTTTATTTTATTAATGAAATTTAGGAAATGAAGTTGCTTAAGATTCAAAACTTGTTAAAATAAAATACTTAAAAATAATTTAACTTTTTTTTTGACAAATAACAATTGAAGTTTGATTGCAAAGAAAATATACTACTTTACTATTGGGTTATTATCCATGCATAATAGTAATTGGAAAAATAAAAAAAGCTAAATATAAAATTTATAAGTTCACATAATAAGAATTTATAGTAAAATACTTCCAATTTGTACTAAACGTTTTAATATTTTCAACGGCCTATGAGTTTTAATTAACGATATTAAAAAATATTCAGATTATTATTTACTTAAAATAGTAAGCAATATATATAATTTTAATATAAAATGTTTGTATAAAATTAAATCTCAATCAAGCGTAATCAACATGATTAATTGACCGATGATAATGATCGAATACATTATTTATAAAGCATAAATTTATTATTGCAATCACATATTTTATTAATGAATAATCTAGAAATTTAGTATAATTAGAAGTGTAATCGATCGAATTCGAATTAATATAGTATTAAATTTAAGTTCGATTCAAAATTCGAGATTCGAAATTTAACTCAAACTCGATAGAGTTTTATTTTTTTAGCTCAAACTCGATTCGAGATAGAAATCAAATTACTCAAGCTCGCTCGATTAAGTTTGATTAACATATAAAAATAAACTCGATTTTTATATTCGATAAAAGCTCAATTATTTGTACTCAAATTTGAGTTCAATATATTTTATTAATTAAAATAATAAAAATATATTTAAATATAAAAACTTGATTAAACTCGTAAATTACTCAAATTGGATATAAAAATACTTGAACTCAATTTAATTAATAAATTGAGCTACTCGAACTCAAACTCAACTCGATAATAATTGAGTTGAATTCAAATTTTATTCGAATCGAATTTGAATAATTTATAAATAATAATATATCTTTTATACCCTTAAATATAACTCTTCAGGGAAGATTATAGTATATCTTGATTGTAGAATAAAGTAAGTAATTCCCTTCAACTTTTGTATTAAACAAAAAACCAGCAAAAAACTCACACATAGGATTTATAGTTGGATCTCACCATCTTCTCACTTAAGGTAAGTTTAAATGATAATTTTCATATTTTTTAAAAATATAAAAATTAAAATTTAATAATTAAAATTAAAAATATATTAACAATTTTCATGGTCTGTAGCAACATGAATTAATCATTATCATAATCGTAATACTAATTATTAAAGTAATAAAATATGGTCGATTTTATTGGGCCTTAGCTCACATGGTAATGTTGTAGTCTGGGCTTCTGGCTGAAGGGACTACGATAGCTAAATTTTGGGCCAGTTGGAGCACTCCGTAGAAATTTGTTAGCATAAAACGACGCTGCATTGCAGCAGCCACCATTCCTGTAGAGAACAATCCGTTTTTCATACATTTAATCTTACATTGATTTGTAAATCACCCATGAATTTTACATCGATTTTATGGACTGTCAAGTGATCCCATTGTTTAATGGCACTGTAACTGATCGTGACTGAATGTTTCTTAAAATTTCCAGATGTTTAGATATGGTCTGGTCGTAATTTTCAACGTTGTAATGTGGGGATGTTACGTTAACAGCTTGAAAGCTCTTTCAACCATTCAAGCTACAGTTACGAATTTTGCCTACTAGTTTCCTCCCTTCTGGTCTTGCCGGTTTCTTATTGTTCGACGAACGATTATCGTTTAAGGTAAGCCATCCAACAAACCAAAATAATGAATTGATAGTTGAATATCTCAACAATTACCAGTAACAAGAACAAGGTGAAAAGTGAAGACTACTCATCAATTGGTAGCATCACTAGGATAGTTGTTTAAGACTGAGGACGAGTAAAAGGTTTGTGTCTTTTAACTGTTGGAGGGATTGGTAAATTTGCAACTTAACCTTATCAGCATATGTGTATAATTGGATGTAGTTTACACACAGAAGCAAGGTGATGCGAAATTTTTCTCTCAACTTTTGCTTGTTTGCTATTTTTGGTGGCACGGAAGTTTCCTATGGATGTCCAAAATCATTCTAGAAGAATACGAAAAACCCTTGAAATACATTGTTCCTAACATCCTAACTATGATTAGTTTTGTCATTGTCATAATGTATAGATCTGTAGATTTATCGTTAGATATAGATTAAAAAAAATTACTATAAATTTTTTTTGTTTAGGTGTAATTAATCACATGATTGAATCTGATTTGCAAAACAGATGTTAGGTTCGGAAGTCGATTACGCATGAAAAATATTATAGCACCCCCACAACGTCCATCAAAAGGATGATACCAGTTTGATTTCGAATTATCCAAGCCTTAATCATTTTTATGATTTTTGTCAAATAGTTTAATATTAAAAATTAACCATAAAAATGTTTCAATAGTTTGGTAGCAATCCAAGATAATTCTCTCATCTTAGAAGTATTCATAGAGATTAGTATCCCATTTTAAAAATACTCTATCATCGAATTTATTAATTTTTTTTAGAAAAATTAGTGAAACCTCCAAATAGTTTGGTATAACTCACTTCAAAATAATCATCAAATAGTTTAGAGCATAAAAATTGTTATTGTTTATTTAAAACTATTTTTTTCTTTTTTTTTTTGAAAGATTTTTTTTTAAGAATTATTTTTTATTTATATATATATATATATTGTAATGGAAGTGGCAAAAATAACTTTTTTTTAAAGTAAAACTAGAAAATAATAAAAATAGGTTAAAATAAAATAAAATAAAAATAAAAATAAAATAAAAAAAGAAAAATCTGCGATCGGAGCGGGTTGGAGCGCGAATCTGCACTCGAGTTACCAGATCTAGGCACGAATCCTAGCTTATCTGAAACTACGTTGTTCAACTGTAATATCAAAATCAAGTTTCAACGTTTTCCTTCATAAACCTCATCCTTTTTCTCTCTCTATCTGATTTTTCTTCTATTTTCTCTCTAGAAAATTCATCGATAAATTCAATCGAACACTGAGAATCTCACAGATTTTTGAAAATATCATCGAAAAATTCAATCGAAAACTAGAAAACCTATTGGTTTCTGAAAAATGTGCTGGATTTTGGAAATCTGGTCGGGATCTTGTTGAAAACTTCAACTTTTGTCAAAAAATTTCATCAAAAAATTCAATGTTTTTCAAAAAACTCAAAAAAACACAAAAAATTTTGAAAAAAATCCAAAAAAAAATTTAGATAACTCTAAACATTCCCCGAACCCTTTACAACCTTAAATTCTCCTCTAAAAACCTAGAATCACACCAGAATTACAAATTAAATCCAAAACTCCAGAATTAACCTCCTAAAACCCTTTTTGCCCAAAATTTCCCAGAATCCTCCTAATATTTTTCTCCCAAATTTCCTATGTGTTTCTGTGTAGAAATTAGTCCAATTTATAAGTAGCCTTAAGAATGATTTTAAGAAATGGACAGAATCAATCCCAAGCTTGAATCTTGGGATTATAATCTGTCCAGACGAGATTTTAGATTCAAAATTTTAGCAATCATTGATTGAATATGACCAAGGGATTCTGATCATGATTAATTTTTTTGTGCACGTGTGGATTGAAACGAAAAAGGAAAGCAGTAAAAAAATAAAAAAAAATGAAAAATAAAAATAATAATAATAATAATAATAATAGTAATAATAATATGATATAATATAATCAACTTAAAAAATCATCTAATTGGACCTGGGTAAGGATGGGCCTAATTGGGCCTAGACGTCAATAGATTTAATCGGACCTAGACATCAATGGGCTTAATCGAGCCGGATGTCAATGGGCCTAATCAGACTCGAACGTCAATGGAGCCAATCGAGCTTGACATATATATGCCTAGTTAGGCTTGGACGTCAATGGATCTATTTGGGCCCGGACATAAGTGGGTCAAGTTGGGCCTAGACGTTAATAGGCCTACTTAGGCCCGAACACAAATGAGTGTCTACAGCTATCCTTCTTTACGCATCCTTGTTAGACATGGATGTTGTAAAGACCTAGACACCCACTCTATTCGAGTCGCATCAAGTATAATTTTTGAATTTGCAAAATGACCTAAATTGAACTAAAATCAAGTGATCAGGACTAAACCACAAGTTGAGATAGAGTGACTAAGATCGGATCGAGGTCAAAAATAAATGATCGAGATGAAACCATGAATCATAAGAAATGATCTGGATTGAGCCAACATCATGTGACCGGGATGAAACCACGAGTCAAAATAAAGTAACGAGGACTAAGTCGAGGTTAAAAATAAATGATCGAAATAAAACTACGAATCATATGACTAAAACAAAATCACAAGTCAAAATAAAGTGACCAGGATCGAGTTGAGGTAGAAAATAAATGATTGGGATGAAATCACGAATTGTAAGAAGTGATCTAAATTAAGCTAAGATCACGTGATCGAGATAAAACCATGAGTCAAAATAAAGTGACAAAGACTGAGTCGAGGTTGAAAATAAATGATCAGGATAAAACCATAAACCATGTCATTGGGATAAAACCATAAGTCAAAATAAAGTGACCAAGATCGAGTCAAGATCAAAAATAAATGATCAAGATGAAACCACAAATCATG